CACACACACACACACACACACACACACTATATATTTTATTTTTTGACTGCGCCGCACAGCATGCAGGATCTTCTCCTACCAGGGATTGAACCCATGCCCCCTGCAGTGGAAGCACAGAGTCTTAACCACTGGACCACCAGGAAAGTCTGAAATTTAAATTTCTAACATATATTTCCTATAAGAAATATAAATAAGGTTCTACCTAGGGGCAGGACAGGAATAAAGATGCAGACGTAGAGAATGGATTTGAGGACACGGCGAGGGGGAAGGGTAAGCTGGGACGAAGTGAGAGAGTGGCATGGATATATATACATTACCAAATGTAAAATAGATAGCTAGTGGGAAGCAGCCGCATAGCACAGGGAGATCAGCTTGGTGCTTTGTGACCACCTAGAGGGGTGGGATAGAGACGCAAGAGGGAGGGGATATGGGGGTATATGTATACGTATAGCTGATTCACTTTGTTATAAAGCAGAAACTAACACACCACTGTAACGCAATTATACTCCAATAAAGATGTTAAAAAAATTTAAGAAAAAAGAAAAGAAATATAAATAAGGTTCTATTCTTGTTGGAAGTGTTTTTTTCTGAAATGATTATTTTTGAAAAGTGTGATAAAATTGCAGCTAAAACTCAGCTGTCATGCACTGATTAATCATCAGAAATGGTGAGTGTACAGGTATTCGAGAAATTCAAAAAACTATGAGACTTGACTAAACTGACGATTTAAAATTTTAAAATCTCAATTTATTTCTCTTTAAATAATTGGCCTGTGGAAAGAGAAAAGTAATCATAGTTGGAAACATTAATGGGTCAAACTCTTACCCCACCTACTTTAGTATGAGAATCTGTCACCTTCTGAATAGGGCTTACTTTTCGCAGATTCTGCTAATACTTCTTTTATCTTAAAAAAGACAGATTGGGCACTAGTTGCATACTTAGCTTATTGATTCTCCAACTGTGGGTCACAGCTCCCCAACTGCGATGTCAGAAGATTGCCTAGGGGATTGCAAGGCCTGCTACCTCTGTTTTTGCCCCTTTTCCCTCCCTCATTTGTGATAAATTGTCTTATATATTCCACTACATATATTTAGAACCACATCAGACTGCTTTAGTATTTGCTTCCACCATCAAACATAATATAAAACTCTTGAAGATAAAGTCTTTTGTATTTGTCAATATTCTGCTTACCATGTATTTTCTTCCTTCCTAACGTTCCAAGTTTCCTTTTGATGTTTTCTTTCTGTTTAGAGAATTTTGTTTAGCCATCGTTTTAGGGTAGGTCTGTGGGTGTCCAGTTCTCTAAGCTTTCCTTCATCTGAGGTTGTCTTTATTTCCCCTTCATACCTGAAGATTTGTTTTTTGCTGAATATGAGATTCTGTGTTGACAGTTTCTTACTTTTAGTATTTAAAAAATATTGTGCAACATCCTTCTGACTGGCATAGTTTCTGACGGTAAATTCAGTCATTCTGATTGTTTCCCCACTATAGGTAAGGTGTCAGTTTTGGGTTTTTTTTTTTTGTTTTTTGTTTTTGTGGCTTTCAAGATTTTTTCTGTCTTTAGTTTTCAGAAGTTTAATTGTGATGTGTCTTGGTATGGATTTCTTTGGGTTTATCCTATACGGAATCTGATTCTGTAGATTTATGCCTCTTGCCAAGTTTGAGGAGTTTTCAGCCAGTATTTCTTCAAGGATGTTTTCCACCCTTCCAGGGACTCTGATGATACTGTTAGATCTTTTTATAGTTTCACTGAGCCTTTTTTTTTTTTTCCTTCTGTTTTTTTCTCTCTTGATCAGATTAATTTCTATTGTGCTATCTTTGAGTTTACTGATTCTTTCCTTTGCCACCCCCATTCTGCTGTTGAGCTTATCCACCAAGCTTTTTATTTAGTGATTGTATTTTTCAGTTCTAAAATTTCCATTTGGGGGACTTCCCTGGTAGTCCAATGGTTAAGACTCCATGCTTCCACTGCTGGGGGGCACAGGCTCTATCCCTGGTCGGGGAACTAAGATCCTACATGCTGCATGGCGTGGCCAAAATACAAAAATTAAAGATAATAATAAATAAATACAATTTCCATTTGGTTCTTCTTGATCTTGTCCTTTGCTGAGACTTTCTGTTTCTTTGCTGAGGCTTTCTACGTTTTTCATTAATTTCAAGCATGTTTGTAATTCCGTGGAAGCATTTTTGTCATGGCTGCTTTAAAATCCTTGTCAGATAATCCTAACATCTCTGGGATCTCAGTGTTGGCATCTCGATTGTCTTTTTTCATTCAAGTTGAGGTTTTTCTGGTTCTTGCTTTAATGAGTGATTTTCTTGTGAAACCTGGACATTTTTTTTATTATGTTCTGAGACTCTGGATCTTATTCACAACTCTTGTTTTAGCTGACACTCCTCTGGTTGAGAAGGGGGAGCACCGTCTTGTTATATTGCCAGGGGAGGTGTAAGTACAGGTTCTCCCCTTGGCCCCCATTGACACCCAAATGAAGGGGGACTATTTATTTATTATACTTGGGCAGGGGTAGGAGTTCTGGCTCACTACATGGTCTTCATTGTCACCGCAGCGGGGTGGCCTCATCACTTCGAGGCCACCAGAGGAAGTGCCTCCTCTGACTCCATCCCTGGGAGGGGGTGGAGCTGCTGTTACTGCAGGGGGGAGTGCAAGGCCAGCTTCCCCTGGTGCGGACTCAGGATTGGCTTTGGGGGAGGAAAGTCCTGCTCCCTGCTGGGTGTCTCTGACATCGCTGGGTGAGGATGTCCAGGTACCTGATTCCAGCCTTGTGAGGGTGTGCATCTTGGCTCCCCACTCAGCCTGGGCTCTTGTCAGCAGGTGTGAGGTCACCATTCTTTCCTGTAGTGTTTGGTTGTAGAAGGGCAGTAGTTGTCTAGAGGATCAAATCTGGGAAGGTATTGCTTTTTGTGACCATCAAAATACTAATGAGTTTTACTTCAAAATCAGTGAATTCCAAATGAGTCCTATATTGGATGGACATAATAAAATCATTATTAGTTTGTAGATCTGGTGCCTTTGAGTTTGCACAAAAACAAAGCAACTCATAAGACTGCTGCTTCAGGAGATTTAGCTGTCGATAAAATGGATAACCTCATTCATGTAATTTTTTTCTTGGACAGATGAATTATAATGCTGGCATTATCTAACCATTTGGGAAACCTTTATGGAACAATCACAATTTAGGAGGCTATGGAGACACAAATAAAAGGCAAGGTTTCTGCTCTTGAGGAAATTATAACAATAAAAAAAAGTGGAAAACAGAACTGGAGAATCAACTGTGAATCGTGGAAATACACAACTACACAGAGACATAGAATTACAGATGTCAAGAAACATGTCATCATCCAGACATAATCTTGAGTCAAATAAACTCCACGTGTACATATTCTATAAGAACAAGTCAGAAGGTAGAAAGTACTGTAAATGGTCATGTTGTCTGATTGTGATGAGATTTTGTACCCTCAGTTTTAATCATGGCCCATGATCCTATTTCCTGCTTTTATTTCAGTAGAAGCATGACACTGGCTACTTGTGTGATCTTGGGCAAATCGCTTGTCTAACACTATCTCTTCGTTTCTGAAATGTGGGTAATCCTACCTGTATGATAGAGTTGTTTGATCGGATTAAGCTAAGTAATGCACATGAAATTCTTATCACAGTTCCTTGCACATAGTAAAATGATAGTAGCTGATATTTTTGCTTTTGCTGTGGCTGCTTGCCTCTTTTTGTTAGCAGGCTCTATAATGTCAACAAGTTAAACTACGTTTTCTCTTACAGAGTGCCCCCGAGTCTGTACTACGCTGTTAGCTTAGGTGAACCTGTGCCTAGGAAGATAAACTGGCATCAAGGATATCAGAAACCTTTCTTAATAGGGCTCATGAGTGAACTACATAAAAAACTATTGACCCTTTTCCTGAAAATTCCTCTCATGCTTCAAACATACATTTTTATCACTAGCTTACAAAGAACAATAAATTATTTTATTGTCTTATTATAGTTTCATTAAGGATCTTATTTTTGGCTCAAGGCTTGTAACTTTCAATTCTTGTTAATGCTCACGGTCATCTTACTATTTGTTTTCTCTCATTTCTACTTGCATAAGCCTTGTTTTGTTCTGTTCATTTAAGTGACTTAAAGGCTCTCAAAACCTGGTAGTGAATGAAGTTTGTTTATTTACTTGATCGATATTAAGTGTTTACGCTAAGTACTGTACTGGGAATACTAATTTGAGTAAGAAATGGTTTCTGTTTTCAAGGCGCTTGTTTAGTGCAGATGTGACAGCGTCACTGTTGTTTAAACTACTGGAGAGGAGTCATCTTTAGCTTATTTACTTTTCCACGTAAGTCTTGTCTTTAAAATGTTGTATTTCACGTGCTTCTGAAACTTTCTACTTACATGTCCCCAGTTATCATACTGTCAGAAACTGAAGTAGCATACTCATTAAAGAGTGTAAGCCCTGGATCCGGACTATGTGGGCTAGGGTCGCAACTCTACTGTTTCCTACCTCTGTGACCTTGGGCAAGTGACTGCTTTATGCCTTGAGTTCCCTCTCCTATCGTAAAAGTTAGGTGAGTCATTATATACTGAGTGCTTAGAACGGTGGTGGGCAGACAGTCAACGCTCAGTAAATGTTAGGTATTATTTTCTCTAAAACATCAGAAACAATCTAATTCTTATTTTTAGGAGTTCATTGTTTTATAATTGCTATTTTTTAGTCTTTAGTTTCTCAAAAACACAGGCTTCTGATGTTATTAAGTAAATACATTTATTAATATTGCAAAACTTTCTCTTTTTAATAAAGAATTTCCAATTTTTATTAACATGAACTCAAGAGGTTAGGGTTGCCAGGAGGTAAGAAAAATTTGGAAGGAGATAAATAAGACTGTATGAGAAAGTGGATACCTTTGTGAGCAGGCCTATATCCTTTCTTTAACATAATTTCCTAGACTTTTACAGAATGAAAAAGTTTTATGGGTTTAATATTGATAAATTTATATATATTTAAACATTTATTTTTAAATCCCTGAACACCTGTATGATTGTGGTTTATATTTAAGTTCATGAGAATAAGGCACTTTAGAGTAAGAATAATCGCTTCTGTCTTCTGTTTAAAAATTGTATTTCTCAAAATCATAATGATAATTAATCTAAACGAATAAAATTGCTAAAGCAAAAGAAAATCTGACTTTTGTTACAAACACCTTAAAAATTTTTGTGTCCAAAAGAGGCATAAAGATTTGTACTGCTGGAGTAAATTCTTTAAAATTATCAAAAGGCATACAATGGAACAGTTTTATTCCAGCTTTATTTAAAATTTTAATTTCAAGTGAAATAATGTGACACTGATGGATAAGAATACAACCAAAGATGGCAAATAACCTAATTCACTTTCCTGGTTTGTTCAAGCCTCCAGGCACCAGTCAAATATCGAAGTCGTATAAGAAGTAGGTCCTTGCCCATCTGTAGCCAGCTCCAAAATGGAACTAATTTAGAACCTGCAATTTAAAAATAATTAAAAATAAATATATTTTCAGGAAACATAACAGTTTAAAATTGTATTTTAGAAGTCACGACCTTTGTGAGCTTCTAGTCACCTTAATTTAACTTACATTATTTATATTATATATGTATGTCTGTTAAACAATTCCTTTGTACATTTAAAAATGATTTTCGGGGGCAAATCTTCATGTTTTACACACTGCTTTTCAATCTCATGTACTACAGAGCATCAGATACACCTCTATACATAATACAAGTACAGATTAATAATCTGAGATAAGAAAGCCAAGACAAAAACCCAACATTTATTCTAATTCTACCAAGGGCTCTCAATCAGATAAAATAAATACACCTTAGCTATAGGCCATCTTCTTGTCCAGTGGTTGTCAAATGACAACATGCCAAGTGCAGTTGACTGCATGAGATCTGCCTCCTTGAGCATGTCTTAAAAGCTTATATTTCTTGATTTTACCCCTTGGAATTGTTTTTTTGGTAAGTCAGAAGCAGACCTGCCCTGCCCTCCAATCTCAGGTAACTGGCATGCTGGATGGTAGAGTGAAGTGGTAAAGACCACAGGACGATCACTGACCATTTCCAGATTGAAGCCCAAATGCTCTAGCTTCCTTCTCTGTTCCTTTCTTCCCACCTCTCCCCACCACCACAAGCTTTACTGAGGTGTAATTGGAAAATAAAATTGAAATGTATTTAAAGTGTACAACATGATGATTTGATAGCTGTATACACTGTGAAATGATTACCACAATGAAGTTAACACATCCACTGTAATTAATTTAAATCATGGATAAGAGATTTAAATATCTTCAAAGCCAAAGTGAGTGGTTTCTCTAAAAACAACAAAAACAAAACACCTTGAAGTGAAATAAAACTTGGGAGGATCTAAACCGTGAGAATTTCAGATGGCCCTGCTCTAGTGGGGAGGCACCGATTGTACATGGCTGAGGGTTTGGGGATGATTAACAGAAAAACTGCTAAGTGCTGGTTATCGAGATTTAACACTCAACTCTCTGAGAAATGCAAGTGAGCAACTGATATAAAATGAAACATATTTTTACTTTTCCCCACTTCAGCTTCCCATAGAGTCTGTGCTGGGCACAGATCAACACAGACACATCCACCAAGCTGATCCTAACGAGCCTGAGGCATCCTTTCACCTGCTTCCATCCCCTTTGGTCTAGGCTGCTACTGTGGAGATTAGTCACACTGTTGTAAACTCAATATGATTCAGCAAGACTCCAAGAGGTCTACAGAGCTTGTATGATTTCCAGACGGGTTCCTACCCTTTTTCTGTCCCTAAACATGTGAAGTTGCTTACTTCAACAGTGACTTTTCAAGAGGAGGCCATGCTTACCTGGGGGAGAGGTGACTTTGAAAAAGTCTCCAGTTAACTGCTCCTACACTGTGAATTAATTTAGGATCACTCTAAGGTAAGCAAAGGAGAACAATAGAATATATTTTAAATTCTAAACAGTGAGCGCTGTCTAAGCTTTTCTGAATAGAAATTATTCAGAAGTATGATAGATTTCACATTTTAAATCTTAGAAATCTTTACATTTTTGGATATATGTACAGATGCCAGTTAAAAAACGGCTGTGAATGGATTATGGACATTTGGAGTAAAAACAACTAATTCCTTATTTAGCTTTGCACAGTGGTTTGTAGGTACTCAAAACTCACTGAGTAATGAAATAATACTAAAAAAAATTGGTATTACAAACAATAAAGTTTATCTGAAGACTATTCACCTTGCTTCTAGCCTGAAATCACCATGATCCTGTCTACTGTACAAGTTTTTATTGAATTGCTTAGGCAAGCCAGTAGGCCTAATGAAGACCCTAAGAAGAGACTTCTTCTTCTTAGGAGAAGAAGGCATTTACAGAATGAATTATGGGCTTACAGAAGGCAGTAAGCCAGCTGGAGGAGGGTGGCAAGGATTAGTAGGCAGTACTTACTGTCTATGAAACTGCCTCTGAGTTAGGACAGCGGAGCTGGGGTGACAGTAAAGCCAGCTGACTTCACTGGACAACTGTAGGTCTGACGTCTTCCCCCACTTAAGATCAGCTGTAATGTAAACAATATACTCACCTTCAATTTCAGTCCAGTTGACAGCAATTTCTGCTATTGGGATCTTAAAGAACTGTGCTATGTAAAGCAGTTCTACATCAAATGCCCTGAAATAGAGAATACATTGCTATTTATTTTTAAAAAGACAAATAGAGTGTAATTGAATCTCTACCTTGGCATATTTTAAAGAAGCTTACACAGCAGATATAAAAGCTTATATTGTAAAAGTGAAGGCCAGATAAACATAAGGTCAAATAAAAGCAAAGTAGTTCAGGAGCTTCAAGGCAAATAATATAACATCGCGTGTCACTGCATAACATATAAATGAGAAATATGGCGTCTCTGTCACAACTCAGAAACTCTCAGAGGTAAAAACGGCCTCCTGGGCTCCAAGAGAAAATTTAATCCTGGAAATGTTCAAGATTGATGTTTTTCAAATCCCAACCTTAACTAGCTCAAGAGACAGAACTGATGGCATTTTCAACAGATTCAGAGAGCTGGTAAAACAGAACCTTGAGAAGCCCTAGGAGAGAATGTTCTCAGTCACTTCAGAGCTGCTTGATTCCATTCTTCTACCGCCAAAGAATCAAGGTTCCTTTTCTAAGTACGGGGTCCCTGTGGCCTGCCTTCCCTCTTCCCCTCCCCAATGCCATCCTGGCCAATACAGTACTGGTAGCTGGTGGAACTGAAAAGCCAGTTTAGGCTGGCCTGAAAGACCTCGTGGGTATAACTACATATATACATAGGAATTAGATACGTTGTCTCATTTTAACATACACTTAAAATCATCTCTAGCTTGTATTCCCAGCTCAGCCTTCCTTCTACCTAGGAAAGACTCTTTCTTAAAAAGCTCCTCTTCAATCAGCCCTTTGGTTTTGGTCGAATCTGCTTTCCTTAACATTTTTGAATCCTGACTTAGAAGTTTTCCTGGATTTTTACAAAATTCTCTCAACCAGTTGCTTCCTTTCACTGGCATTAAACTCAAAAAGAGAAGCACCACTGCCTGTGCTGCACTTCATGCTTTTACTTGTCTCAAAAAGCACTGAAGTCTTTCACTGTTTTGCTTTCATTCTTGAGACATGAAATGCCCCACTTTCTAGACTGCATGGAACACACTTCAGACTTCCCAGGCTTGGATATGAGCACAAACAAGAAAACGCCTAAAATCCACTTCTATCTGATTTCCCTGATTCCAGACAATCTGAATTTGGGAGTTCTGTTTTCTTGGTTACAATACCACCATCATCCATTATGCAACTAGTTTAAATCCCAAATGTTTGGATAATTCAATATGAAAACTATTTTTTTTTAAAACACTTAATGCTTTTCCTTATCCTAATAAAATATTTACCTAAGATGATAAAACCACCTACAAATGTGTTCTTTGTGTTTCTAAAAGGACTAAGTAAAACTTCCGTTAAGTAGAATTGTGACACTCATGAAAGAAGGAAATAATCTGAATATTAACCCTTAAAACTTTCCTTTAACATAAAACCAAAAAGTTACCTAATGGGCTGCTGAGTAATGCTAATTAATAATCAGATCAAGATTATTAAGTATTTCTCCAAAGATATCATATAGAATTAGTGACTTATCAAAGACACAAAACAACATAAAAATGATGAATGAAAAGGAGTGGGGTAAAAAAACCACCGATAAACTGAAATACAAATTAATTTTTTTTATATTAAAAAAACTGAAAGGGCTATTCATCTTATAAATTATTGTTTTTATTATACACTTCTCCCCTTAAACATTTTAGAAGACATGAGATGTTTATTTAAAAAAAAAACCCCAAGACAACAAAAAACCACAAAACAAAACAAACTGCAGTTCATATCACCATATTACAAATAAGAGACCAATCTGTTACCAAAGGAAACATTATAATTAAAATACCAAGTACTTCTGGATGGAACCTTATGCCAATAAAGAGAAGCAGCATAAGGGTTATTCTCCAACTGAAATGACTTCTTGAGTTTTGGTAAATGTGGGGAGGGCAGAGTCAACAAAATAATTTTTGTTATTCAGTTCCTGATACAGCTGTTACCTCAGGAACAGATGTATTTCTGAAGAACAAAGAGTGCGTTGAGACTCTGCTAAACATGGCACACACACACACCCTACTGCTCCCTCCTGAAATCCCACTAAAATTAAAACGACAATGATGGGATAACCATACGAGAACAAAGGGAAGATGAGAGTAACAAAAAAAAAAAAATGTGAACGTTGGAAAGTAGCTAGACAAGTGGTAACTAGAAAGTAGACAACGGCAGAGGGAGAAGCCCAGAGCAGGTTAATGGGCACCACAGAGCCCCCGAGGCTCAGGCATCAAGGGCCCAAGTGACCTCTGTAAGTGGAGGTGCAGGTGGGCTGCAAACCGGAGGGCTCACTGAAAATCTGTAAGAGATTCTCCTTTCTCCCAGCCGGTTCTGTGAATGCTGGCAGCCAGGATCATATTTCTTAGGCAGCAAATTGAAGGATCCCACTTTAGTGAAAATGACCAGCCCCAAACATAGTGACAGCTGGGAGTTACCCACACAAAATGGCCCCACTAGTTTAATTTGTAGTGAAATCTATCAGTCAGAGTTTGCTGACCACGCACCCAGCTGCTGATGAGCTAAAATTTTTAGCACCATACTAAACATATCTAAGGATAAACGTTAATGATAAAAACAAACATAAAGAAAAAAACTGGAGCAACAGAAACAATGCAAGGAAAGAAGAAAATAAAGTGTTAGTGGAAGCTACTGTAGTCATGAAACAAGAACAGATTTTAAAAAATGAATACTAGAATATAAGAATTGCAGGAAATTGAGGTTTTGATAGCAGAAATAAAAATTTAAAAGGAGGGTTAGATGAAAAAATTGAGGAAATCTCAAAAGAAGAAAAATAGGAAGAGGGAGAGAAAATAAAATGAAAGGATCAATAGGAAAGCTCTATATCTGTTTTATAAGACAGAAGAGAGAAAAGACAGAGGAGATCATCGAAGAAATGTATAAGGGACATTTCTCAGAACTAAAGGACATGGGTTTCCAGACTTAGAGGGCCTCCTGAGTACTCAACAAAATGCATGAAAAAGAGCCACGTTAAGTCGCTGAATCATGACATTTCAAAACACTGAATAAAAGGCTTCCAAAGTGGGGTGGAAAAAACATGCCATAGACAAGGAATCAAGATTAGATTATTGACAGAATTGGACTTTTCCACAGAAACACTGATGCCAAAGACAACAGAGCAATGCTTTCCAAATCCAGAGGAAAAAGGATTTCCAACCTATAACTCTTTCTCCAGCTAACTGGTAAACAAGTGTGAGGGTAGAATCAAGGCATGTCTCTACATGTGGGGTCTTGCAGTGTCTTTCTCATATTTTTTAGGAGGTGTAAGAGAGGTGTGCTCTACTAAATTAGGATGGAAACCAAGGAAAACAAGATCTAGGACAGGAGCTGCAGCAGGCCAGGACACAACTAGAAAGAAAGAGCCAATGAGAAAGGCATCTCCAAGAAAAAGATGGAATTGAGGCATAATCTGATGTGTCTGGGAACTTATGCTTCTGTCAGAGAGTGAGGACAAGTGTTAGATCCATGGTCAAGTAATGCCAGCAAAAAACTCCAGTTATTACCTTTAGAAAAACAAAAAGTACTACAACTATGTGGGTCGTATAATCCCACTGCATGCTACGGCTCAAATTTGAATTCTCTTTACCCAGCTACAACGATCAATGCTGAGCTAAGCAAACATTATTTTAAAACTGTATTAGGAGCATATCTGTGGAGGGTGTACAGGAGTTTAAGAGAACGAGATACTTGTCCATTGATTTCCTATTGTGGAAATTAATATCTAAAACTGAAAAACTGAGACGTAGCTATGCAGACCCATTGTTTTCAATGTGAAAGCAAACACCACAAACAAGCAGTAAAGAGATGAAAGTGACTAGAGTGAGGGAGCAGGTATGGGGGATGGACGGAGATGGGGCAAAGGACAACTGTTTTCTTGTTATAAGCCTGATGGAATGACTTTAAATTATAAACATGAATAACATTGATTAAAAATTTTAAAAAATTCACTAGAAGTACATTTCAAAGAATCCATTTAAAAAATTATTCATAAATTGGGTCGAATTATACCTTAACATTAAATGGAAAGAATTTAGGTGAGGTAGAGTTCAGAGGATGGAGATTTTATATACATATTTATATTTAACATTTAACGTTACCCATACTCAAGTAATTTGGAATCAAAGAGATGCCTGTAGTCTTTTAACTTCAGCAGTACAGCGTATACCTTGAAGTGTTGTAATACCTAGAAACTCTACTTGACTTGGATTCCCTGAAAGTTACGAGAAAAATTTCAGCGAATCTTTAGAACAAGTCCTCTTAAAAAACCGTCTAAGGAGACACATACGGAAATGAGTGGATGCACAATTTGGTTTCTAAAACTTATGGTGCATAAGAAAAAACAAATCTGCTCTTTAGTCTTTCTTGATTGAAGTGAAGGAACAGAGATGTTTAAATAAAGACAATGAAACGTAACTGTGGTGAAGGGTATACTGCTAATCAGGTTGATACATGTGTATCCGGTGTTCTCCTTTATGGGCACAACATAAACATAACTGGACCCTAAAGAGAGATGTGAGAGGCTAAAATTTTAAGTCAGGTCAATATTATGCCAATCAAATTGCAAATAAATAATTAAAAAGGCATGCACATGAACATAAAATTTAAAGAAGAAAAAAATAAAAACATGTTTTTTAACTTAAAAATCCCATAAAACCTTGGAACAGTGCTGGCCAATACACTAGCCACATGTGGCTGGCTATTGGGCAACTGAAATGTGGCTAGTCTGAATTGAGATGTACTGTACTCTGAAGACATAGTACAAAGAAAAGCATGTAAAATAGCTCAGTATTTTTTTCATACTGAGTACATGCTGAAATGACTACATTTATAGTGTTCAATATAGTATTAAAATAAATGTCACCTTTCTTTTTACTTTTTAATGTGGCTACTAGAAAATGTAAAATTACATATATGGCTTGCATTTGTGTCTCATATTATATTTCTGTTGGACAATGCTGCCTTACAACAATTCTGACTTATAACAGTCCTGACAAGGAAACTTCATAATTTTTAAGTCATCAACCCTAACCCTAATGTTCTCCATTTTTAAATCCTTCCTTTTGAACTACAAAGAACCTAGCTCTTTGACCATAGATGGAGACATAACAACTTACTGAAAAATATCTAATGCAGAGGGAGGGCTTTATTTCTAGAGTGGCTTCTTAATAAATAAGATCCTCTGATTTTGGAGTCCATTAACTATCAATATATTTTATTCTTTAACATAATAGAAACATGCATCTAAATTTTAAAACCAAATATACATTACTTAAAAAATTTTAATCTAGGAAAGAAAGATTCAAAAACATGTTTGATAATTTTAATTCTGAAAATACAGTTTCTTTAAAGTTATTTGGGAAGATTGTATGACATCTCTTTCTACGGAGATAACAGATCTTTGCAAATAGACACATGAAAGTTATAGAGACTATAAAAATGAACATCTACTGGAATAATTATGCAGACTCCCACCATGAACAGAATTCACACAGAACCCAGTACTAACAGTAAGTATTCTTTCAACAGTATTTACTGAGTACCTATGATGTGCCAGGCACTCTCTTTGCTATACAATAAGCAAAATCAGATGGGAGTCTTGCTCTTGTGGAGCTTACGTTTTAATAGAGAAAAAGAAACATTACACAAATAAAACACTACAGATGTGACAGGTGCTACGAGAATGGCTTATGGCACTGCAGCAGCATACAATCAGGGGCATCTGATCTGGTACAGAGAGTGAGGGCAGGTTGTTCTAACGAAGATCTGAAGGATAAGGAGAACTTGATGGAGGGGCAGTGGGTGGTGAGAAGGAAGAATCCGCACATGGAGACTCAGGTGGGCCAGACCGTAATATCAATACTGATACTGCCTATTGGTATCCCTCTCAAGGCCTTGGAAGGCACCGAAAGGCAATGGGAAGCAGAAGAGGTGCATCTGATTGATCATGTCTAATTTCTGAAGGGTCCCCTTGGACTGCAGCATAGGAACTGATGTCTTGGATTGTGGTGAAGATGAAGAGAAATGAAGGGACATAAAAGCTCAAAACAACAGGCCTCGGTCATGGGCTGGATATACGGAGGGGCTGTGGGGAAGGCTGTAATGACGCCAAGGTTTCAGGCTTCTATGTGACTGTTATTCCCTAAACAGGCTGGGAGCCGAGGCGAGGTCTGGGACAAAGAGAGGCCGAATGCTGCCTCAGGTTCATTGAGACGGTGAGTCGTCATCTTAAACATGACCACTGGATTTAATCATAGGAGGGTAACTAGATGTTTAGATGGGAGGACGGGTGAGGAGTGAGTGGGAAGCGAAAAGATGGGGACACTGAATATGGACCCCTTTTCCAAGAAAAGGTTCGCTGTGAAAGGAAAGAGGGCTAGAGTTGAAGGGGTGCTGGGGGGCAGGGGTCAATGGAGAGGGTGTTTTTCTAATGGCAAGAGAAATTTAAACTTGAAAAAACTGATGGGAAAGATGTGGTTGAGAGAAAAGGCTAAATACGCAGGAGAGAAAGTAAGTGAACAGGATTGGGTTGTTAGAAGGTGGAAGGGGATGCAGAGGCCCAAGGGCTGGTCTTAGGCAGGAGAGGGAACCTACTCCTGCAAAAGAAAGGAAAGGAGAGAAAGTGGGCACCCTCTTCTGCTTTGATATGTCTGAGCTTTTTCTTTTTACTTTGAAGGAAAAAAAGGAAGCTTAAGGAAACAGGATGTTTTCAGGCCTCTCAATTTATACTGTCTACAATTAAAGTAAATATGTAACTTTATACCCTATGTTTGGTTTGAGGTAAATAAGAACCAAACTAGTAAGGGTACAGATTAAGTTTACATATATAAGTGTCAATTTTGTTTAAACCTGGATGTTCGTTATGGGACTACAGGGCTGCTGCCCATTACCTGGAGAAACTGCTGTATAAGATACACCAGACACATTCCGGTTAGGAACCTACCATCGTTCAATGTGGAGAGATGAAAACGTCCGTGACGCTGCTTCTCGAGTTAATAATTTGAACCCACACTGTGTATCCCTGATTCCTTTGACACAAAGGAACCACACCAGAAAGTGGAACCCATACATGAGAAGAGTACGGAAGTAAGAACGCTGAAACAAAGACAAAATATAAATGACTTTTCTATTTATCTATAAAGGAGACATTGAAAACACCTGGCTGTAGACAACTGCAACTTAATACTTAATTGACTGGGTAGATCTCACACATGAACGCCATTGTTCCATTAGCTGCACAGGCAAAGTCTATTCTAGAAACTGTGAGGACGCCTAATGCTTGGAGCTGGACAGAGGCTAGAAAAGTAGTTACTCACTTTCTGGAGGTGGAGTCAGACAAGAAGAATCACAATGCCTGTGAAAGTCAGGGCTTCAATGTGCCAGAAATGTACCACAGCAGTTGGAGGGCTGCTCTGAGCCAGGAGAACATCTCATTCACCTTATATTTTGTGCCCCAAACACATTTCAGTTTCAAAAAAAGGTGAGTTACCAGAATATCTTGGAAAAATGAAACACTAAGATTTCAACCTGAAGTATGATACCTAGCTAATGAGAATGCGATAGAAGAGGTACAGCAGAGTGTCACAGACTAGAAAGGAGTTTGAAACAAAAACCCAGTGTCTCTAACTATGACAGATATTTCTGATTAAATATATTTTAACAGGAAAGTTCTTTAATACTTTGGATATTAAGCTTAAGTAGTCTAATCCTATCTGAGAATTCATTATTGTTATTAGTCATTAATTTTATTATTAGTAGTAACATGACACATATTCCATTATTCATTAAAAAATGCAAACTTTAAAAAAAATCATTAACTATCACTGAATTCAAGACTTTCATATTTAGGATTAAAAAAAGATAAGATCTCTTAAAGTTTTCTATAATTATGGTAATAGACCCATGGAATGATATTTACATATGCATATAAGCAAACCAGTAAGAGTCTATGCAGAATATTTAATATCTCATCCTACTAAATAAAAGTCCTTTCCTCCTTTTGGATTTTCTTTTTCATTATTGTAATCTTTAGTATTGTTCTTCATTCACATGTCTTTTTCTATCACCATGGAACAAAATCATGACTCAACAGTGAAAAAATGATGGGAGAAAAGCCACGGAGCCGAGCAGGCCTATATTTGAATCCTGGCTCCATTAATAATTAGCAGGCTGTGGGCTTCCCTGGTGGTGCAGTGGCTGAGAATCTGCCTGCCAATGCAGGGGACATGGGTTCGAGCCCTGGTCCGGGAAGATCCCACATACCGCAGAGCAACTAAGCCCGTGCGCCACAACTACTGAGCCTGTGCTCTAGAGCCTGTGAGCCACAACTACTGAGCCTGCGTGACACAACTACTGAAGCCCACGTGCCTAGAGCCCATGCTCCGCAACAGGAGAAGCCACCGCAATGAGAAGCCCATGCACCACAACGAAAAGTAGCCCCCGCTTGCCGCAACTAGAGGAAGCCCGTATGCAGCAACGGAGACCCAGTGCAGAAAAAAATAAATAAATAAATTTATTAAAAAAAAATGATTAGCAGGCTGACCTTGAACAAGTTACTTCCACTCTCTAAATCCCACTTTTCTCATCTAGAATGAAATGCCTGCCTCACAAAGGTACTGTAAAGTTTAAATGAGATAATATTAAAGCCTTTAACCAAGTGTTTGGTACAGGAAGTAACAGAAACTTAATAAACGCTTTTAATAAGGGAAGAAGGCTTGAAAGCTCACTTTAACCTCCTGACCACAGTTTCACTTGTGTAATAAATAGGGCAAGAAGGGAAGGAAGAATAAAATACTTACCTATAGGGTACGTAAAACAAACTCTTTGAAAAGCTCTAGCACTTCTCACTGATCACCTAGAATCGTTAGTTATGTTTTGATGTAAGAATGTCTTACCTCTCTAAGCAGATAGGGCAGAAACCTCATCTTAAAATACTTTGGGAATCTCACAACAGCTTGCTCAGTGCCTTTCATTTAAAATATTTCCAATAAATACTGGTTGAGTGATTAAACCTCCAAAAGAGCATTTATGCTTAGGAAAGGAACAAACAGAAATCGAAAGACAGAAAAATAAAAATTGGCCTTCCCTGGTGGCGCAGTGGTTGAAAGTTTGCCTGCTGATGCAGGGGACGTGAGTTCGTGCCCCAGTCTGGGAGGATCCCACGTGCCGCAGAGCGGCTGGGCCCGTGAGCCATGGCCGCTGGGCCTGCACGTCCGTAGCCTGTGCTCCGCGGTGGGAGGGGCCACAACAGTGAGAGGCCCGCGTACCGCAAAAAAAAAAAAAAAAAGGTAGAAAAATAATACCTATAAACTATTCTCCTTGAATGATTTTTAACATGATTTAGATGAGCTTACTAGTAACCAAATGAAAATATTCATGACTGCTTTTGCTTGGATGCTAATAGAAGATTTTTGTTTGTTTTAGGATAATGGCTATTTTTTTAAAAAACAGAAACATGTTGAGTTCACATGAGGACTTTAACTTATTTGATTTCTAACATATTGAAAAGCATAACAATATAATCTACAAACAACTGGAACTTTCTTTAATTTTTAAAACTTGGCAAAATATCTTAGAATTTAGAAGACATCTAAAAACATACTACAGGATAGACTTATTTAGTTAAATGAAGGTAACAAAGTCATAGAATAGCATTATATGAACTTCTGAAGTAGATATTTAAAAACATTCACTGCTTTAATATTAACAATCATCTCTAATGTTTATGAAATGTAAACAAGGAATTCAGGTGAAATTTAAAGCTGACTGGTAATTTTATTATCTTAAAAAGAGAAGTTAAAGAAGTCCTAAGACTGAAGCAGACTCTTCAAAAAAAAATCTAAAGAGATCAAACAAACAGTAATGGATTCTATTTTGAATCATTTAAAAATGATAAGTTTGAGAATACCCAGACAATATAAACATGACTGTTTTAACTGTTATACAGAACACATGGGCATATGAACACTTTTAAGGATGCCTGAAAGACTCCAATGGTGCTGTATCATGCATGTTTGTCTTCCAAGAGAGCAACAGAACAGACGGTAAGATTAACTGAGAATATGTGTAAAGGTATTTAGGACAGATAAGACTGAAAACTACACAGTTAAGCTACTGAAGTTGCTGTTTACTATCTTGGTTAATTAATACTTTTATAATTTTCTCACTGTCCACAGATCGATCACCATGCAGGATCTATATTACCTATGGCACATTAAGAGAACACCCTAATGGCTGAGAAGTGGAAGGCCACGCCGCACTTTCTTGGACACGTGGCAGATGGTTGTGTTGCCCCTTGGAGATGACCTTCTATAAGACAGGTATAGTTCTGTGAGAATCACCTGGACTTGAACTACAAGCCTACTCAGCAGGAGTTATACGTAGCATCTGCAGAGGACAACTGCTGATCTCTAGTCAGTGGACCAGTTTACCCTTTCTTTCTAGAGTAGCAGCCAATTCTGTAGGGTCCAAAAGCACTATGTCAGTAACTAAGCTTTACAGATGGAGGAATGGATGGATAGATGACAAGATAAATTATAAACGCATAGATCCTAGAATAGATCCCTTGATGACTGGTTAAAAGCATCACTAGGTAAAAGAAGGTTCAGACCATAGCACAGCCTCATCTTACTATTCTGGAAAAAAATTCAAAGAGTTTTCAACCAATGGAAGTTCTAAGTGAGAGAATTTGCACCGTTAAAAACAAAATCAAAAACCACAGTTCTTTTCTACTGCCACCAACAATACAGGTCCCAACTGTTTCTTGCCTAGATTACTTCACCTGCTTCCTAATTACTGCCTCCTATTTCTCCAACCCTTTTTCCTTTCCAAGTAGATAATCCTCTTTTCCCCTATCTATATATATATTTTAAAAAAGGACCAAATTTACTCACAAAACCCTTAAGTTAACATCAGTCTATTTTCATTAAGTGTTTTTTACACAATTATACTGTATTTACAATATCATACTGTTTTTTCTCCATACAACCTAATATTTTAGTATTTCCCAACATGATTATACAGTCTCCATTATCATCTATTTTATCACTGCACGATATTTCGTCCAGGGGAAATATGTACACTTTCTAGTGTTGGGATTTAGTATTTTATAGTTTCTAGTATTTCACAATGATAAATAATGTGCTGAACATTTCGCACATGCACTTTTTCTTTCCTTATCTCTTGTGTATCAGTAAAGTGATGAAGCTGGACTAGCTAATCTCTAAACTCTTTCAGTGTTAAATTTCTAGGAGTTTGATTCTCTATGGTTAACAGATTAACCTTTTTGAAACACCAATAACAGTCCATAGGGTTATAGAGTTACATTTGGACTAGATGCTGAAGATGTTAAAATTATTTATTTCTCAAAAAAAGGAGGGGCTTCCCTGGTGGTGCAGTGGTTGGGAGTCCGCCTGCTGATGCAGGGGACATGAGTTCGTGCCCTGGTCCGGGAAGATCCCACATGCCATGGAGCCTACGCGTCCGGAGCCTGTGCTCTGCAACGGGAGAGGCCACAACAGTGAGAGGCCCGCGTACCGCGAAAAAAAACAAAAACAAAAAAAGGAAAGTTCAGGTTTCCACATTTGAGCAAAATCCTTAAGGGATTTTATGACTCTGCCATCAGTATATCTTGGGGAAAAAATGAGAATATTTTCATGTCCTACTTCAGAATCACTAAGGGAAAGGTTCAATCTTTTATTCCACTGGTTTTCAAACTCTGGTATGCATAGGGTGACCTGGGAAACTGTTAAAAAGGCACATTCCTGGTCCCGTGGCTAGAGTCTGACTTAGTGTCTGGGATTGGCCTAAGAACATGCATTAAAGGAAAAACAAACAAACAAACAAAACACCCCAGATAATTTTGACCTTGCACTGAAAATATGGCTTTATTCTTGATCTACTTGACCAATCTAGTAGATGAACTGTTAAGAATATAATGGACAATTACGGAACTTGATACATTAGGTCTACGTTTTCAAGTGAAAAAATAATTAAAATAGAAAATACTACATAGAGTAGTTCCTTATTATATTTTTTTCCTCAAAGTTACTCCAGCTTCTTAGCCTGATCTGTAAATTACAACCTGAAGAAGTTAATGTCTTCAGTGATTTTTTTGAATATACTAAAAAGGGCAGTACAACTTTACAAATCTGAAGGTATAATGCTTTTCTAAGAGGAACAGTTAAAAACAAATTTAAACTTTGAATAAAACTTAAAATATAGTACTTAAGTGTGCTGACATGAGAAAAACTAAAGGCAAGTTGATAGGTTCAAAAATGGATCATTTGGAGAAATTTGCCTTATATAATAACTGAATGGGGACTCTCTTTGTGTCTTAAAAAAAGAGCTGCTTGTATCCAAAATCAAAGTGAAGTCTACATCCTCCCTGTATACTCATGAAAAAAAAAAAAAAATCAATTCCTGAATATGCTAATCCTTTCTTCTGAAAGGAACCTCATCTTTATGAGATTAAGTATGAAAGCTTATCTCATGCTAATGTATATGTAAAAAAGGAGAAAACTGATCCATGATGAAAGCCTCACCTGAGCAATTGATTGTTTTTCCAAATGAGCTCGAGATCCACATGCAATAGCCATTTGATCCTGAGGAAAAAAGCAGTGAAATAAGTATCATTAATAAAAATATTTATTTTCAATGTGAATACCTCATTTTTTAGAAACTATTTTTTAAAAAAGTAACATTAAATATCTTTAAAGGTTTACTGAGGAATTCAGAATATGTACAACTTAAACAACTCTAATTGTATTTACCAAGATGACACTATTCAGGGCTAAATATAAGGGGCATGCATTATTTCAAAAGTCATATATTTAAGTGATTTTTCTAATTGAAAATACTGTATCAATATAATTATAAAAAAAAGTAGTAGTATTAGAAAGAAAAGGGTTATCTGTAGATGGTATTTTATATATAATCATTACATTATGGAAACCCAAGAATATCAACTGAAAACCTACTACAAACAATAAGAGAATGTAAAAAGATGAGTGGGCACAAAATGAATATATATATAATATTTTACCCTTCATATGTACAAACAGTGATCAGAAGATATAATGGAAGAAAAGACAGTATTTATAACATGAATAAGAAAAATCTATAAACTTTACAAGAAATGTGGCAAGATCTAAATAAAGGAAAGATATAAAGGCAACCAAAGGAAACAAAAAAATCCAGCCACAGAGGGCATGCCATGACCATGGATGAGAGGATGCACTGACAGCACTGAAAAGGCAATGCTCATTAAGCTAATCTTTAAATTTAATGCCATACCAATGAAAACATAAAAATAACTTTTCATTGATTTAGACAAGCTGATTTGGAAGTTAATATTGAAAAATAAAGAATGAAGAAGAGCCGAGAAAATTCTAAGAGTGATGAAGGACTAGCTCCAGAGGATTTAAAAATACATCATAGGGCTTCCCTGGTGGCGCAGTGGTTGAGAGTCCGCCTGCCGATGCAGGGGACACGGGTTCGTGCCCCGGTCTGGGAAGATCCCACATGCCGCGAAGCGGCTGGGCCCGTGAGCCACGGCCGCTGAGCCCGCACGTCCGGAGCCTGTGCTCCGCAACGGGAGAGGCCACAGCAGTGAGAGGCCCGCATACCGCAAAAAAACAAAAAACAAAACAAAACAAAAACTCAACGTTTATAGTAACAATGCAGTAAATTGGGTTAGGATTAGAAAAAAAGATGACATCAGAACTCCTTTCCTTTTCAGAGGACCTGGATTTATAAGAGGAAGGTTCAGATTTTTTTTCCAGTGTATGGTTTGGTTCACCCCCTGACTTTGGCTGAATCATTTAACTTTTCTTTGCCCCACCACAGAATGACATATAGGCAGCTAACAATCTGACACCTTCCACTCTCCCTCCCACTCTTGGGTCCCCAAGGTAGAGAAATAATGTGGGAGAAATATATCAAGTCTCCGTAGATTCTCTGGAGAGAACTAGGATATCAAACCCAAGAATTTCACCAGTTGGACTTTTCTTTTAGCTTATCATGATTTACTAAGAGATGAAAAAAGACATACTTTTTTTAGTAAGAGTGAACATGTAACATATCCAAGAATAATTTAATAATTTCACTGTCCAAAATCACTTTGATTTTGGACATGCTCTACATCTGTGTCAGCCAATAAGGTAGCTACTAACCACATGTATTTGCAATGTGGTCAGTGAGACTGAAGAAGTAAAATTTTATTTAATTTTAATTGACTTAAATAGCCACATGTAGCTACTGCTTTGAACAGCACAGGTAAAAGGGATATTTGCAAAACTGATTCTTTTAAGAATGATATTAGTTAATTTATTTAGTATCTTGAAAAAACAAATGGGAGTGGGTGATGGTGGAGGAAGAAACAATATTTCACAAACTATGAAATTAAATAGATATTTATTCCTAGGAAGAGAAATATGAGATGAATTTTTATAATTATTATTAAATTTTCTGGGTTTTGGATGTTCTGCTTTAATAGGTTTTCTATGTGTGGTGTTTTAAATTGTTTACTTTTTGAATGATCAGGAATTATTTTAACAAATATATAATAATATTTTAACAAATATAATAATTAAGTTTAAATCTGGTCTATTTCATTCATGGATAGTTCCACTGATTGATCTTATTTTGGCCCTCAATTTGTTTTCTTAAATCTGCAATTGTCATCTCACCTTCAAATTGCCTGTGTTGCTGAATTCTTACTTTCATTAAGTATTATTTCTTTAGCAAAAATACTCTTGTGTAATTTTATCCTTTTCCTTGGATTACACTGGCTTTCAGATGGGGTTTATCTTCCTTTTGTATGAAACTTTCTTTAATTCTTTTTCTGTAGTAATGTGTTGGTGTAGCTGCCATTTATTTCTTTTCATTTTGTCATGATTAACATGGGTAGCTCTTGTACAGTATAGGTGAATTCTCCTTGATAAACTTCTACCTTTCGTGATACCTATTTTTCCCTTCTGAACCAGAGTCTCAAGGCCTGAGGATTATACTTGGTGGTGGCGGGCAGTACCCTAAAGCTCTATGTAGCTTTCCTGGGTTATCTGGGTTCCTTGCTGTTGTGAGATTTTGTCGTACCCTGTACAAGGACAAGGGTACACTCCTCTGAGGAATGGATCCAATCACGTGGATCTGTGATCAACTCAAACCCAGTCTGAGGCCAGGACAATGATGAGCCCTAGCAATTTCCGCTTCTGCTAGAATCCGGGGATACGGTTGTCTATGGGTGCTAACTCATTCTTGAAGTCTGATTCTTTCTAGATTGGGAATATTTTTAAAAACGCTCAGAATTTGATAAATTCATCTTCTTTCTCTAAATGGCTTTTAAGAGGTGGGAATGGCACCAAGATTTTCTATCTTTCCTCAACCTCTACTTTTTTTTTTAAAACAAATGTTGATACTGGCTTTATTCATAATTGCCAAATGCTGGAAAACAGTCCAAATGTCCTTCAACAGTTGGACGGATAAAGAAACTGTGGTACACCCATACAATGAAATATTACTTAGTGATTAAAAGGAACAAATTGCTGATATACGTAGCAATTTGGATGAAAGTCGAATGTATTATACTGAGTGAAAGTCAACCTCCACTTTCTGAAGTTATGGCACGAACTTACACATAATCTTTTTTTGAGAGATTGCTGCTTGTGTTTTGTTTTTGTTTGTTTCATCAAAAACAAGAGTCTGGTGATCCAGTTTCATTTCACATCTTTACCCAGAAGTCTCAGTCTATGCTTTTAAATAAAAGACTTAGCTAAATATGCATGATAAATATTAAAACTCTGGTAGAAGTAAAGCAATTTAAAATTGAGATGGACAGAATATTAAATAAGTAATTGTCAAGTGAATCTCAGAAAATCAGCAAATGTTTATAATAAAATATTAGCTCTTCTGTGGGACTGTATACAGGAATTTCACACCAAAAAAAAAATCTCCCAATTGTTTAACTTACAGGTAAATATCATTTTAACTTTACTTTAGACCCCCTCTATTCTTTAATGAATATTGTTTAAACTATATTCTTATACTCACAGGCCAAGGCTGTAGATCATTCAGTCCTTTTTCTAATTTCTCAATATCTGGAAACTTTGTGGCTCCATCAGCATCTGCCATGAGGATCTTTTCTCCTCGAGAACTGAATACACCCTGGATTTAAAAATTTCAAAGAAAACAAAGTTGCTTAAAATCAAGGTTAAATTTGGTGACATATGAGTTTGTTAAATTCGGTGACATATCAGTTTGTACTTAAAATACCCAAGAATTAAATATTAGGTATGAAATGGCAGAAAGAGGCCGAAGTTCACTGAACGTAAATTACATTGATAAGATCTTTCCAAAAGTAGCTAATGTCTATTTCATGATTTTTAAAACTTTGTGAAGTCATACTATTAATACCTTGGAAAATATCAAGATAAGAAAATAGATTTGGATAAGTTAAAGATATGCTGCATCAGTAAGAATAAAAATGTAAAATATCTATCATAAATATTATATCTGTATTGTATATATATTATGCTGCATAAAAGGGATCAGGGGTCCTTACAGCAGCATAGGAAGAACAAAACATAGATAGCTTTGCTATGACATGCATCGTAACATGATAGATCTTCACTATCTTTTATTATGGAATCTAAAGTTTTTAAATTAATTGTTGAATAAAGAAATGTGGAATGTCACTAAAATTTAGAAAGTATGGATATATTCAAATGTTATTTTGCTATCTGAGGCATCTGACACTTAGCAAAATTATGCCATTCAATTTTGAATTGATTGGTCTTTTGGGCAGAATATGGCTCTACGAGTGTATATTTCACTCAGAAATAAACTATGCATCAACTCTTCACTTGATCTTAGCCAAAAGGCTAAAAAGTGATTTACGCATCAACTCTTAATTTCATGGTGCATGTGAGTGAATACAGTGTGTCTTAAGTGTAAATATATTTATGGTTTGATACAGAATACAGCTTTGATGTCACTCAGCAGTGTGGCTATAGATAAGATGTATGTATACAAATCTAGACAAATTTGATCAATTATTGTATAGTATAAGGCTAATTAGTATCTGTAATTTTCTTTATCATATCTGTTAGAATATGGGTAAAAAAGCAGAAATAAAAATGTTATATTTAATCTATAAACATTATTAAGTTTTGGAAAAGAGTAAACATTACAAGGCACAAAATCTGTAGCTATACGTTTGAAATAAAAAAAACGATAAAGGACTATTTCAATGATACCTGATAAGGCTGAACTGTAGGTTGTTACACAATATTAATGGAAAATTGCCTTCGCCCTCAAACTTGTTTCGGCCACCTCATCGTTTTCTTTAAAGGGGGCTTTTGAATGCCTGCTGCTCTCACATCCTATCTGGATGGCCTCCACTTCACTGCCAGACTTCTTGGAAAAGAGTCTAAGTTAGCTGCTCCCACAGTTGTCCATTCAGTCACACCCTCTCCCCTCTGTTCTTTCTGATTTTTCTTCTTCCTCATGTGCCTCTTTGCCCCAAGGCTTGGTTCTTGGCCCTCTTTTCCTTCTATACCCTCTTCCTTGCCAACTGAATGGCTTCAACTCTCAGCTGACACATGTGGATGACTCTCACACCCTCTCCACCAGGCTATTCTGGATACCACTACTTGGCATCTCAAACTCAGTATGGCTCAAACTCAACTAAACATATTGTCTCTTAAACCAGCTCCTCTTCCAGTGTTTCACCTCTTCTCTAACGACATCCTCCCCCTCTCAGGTACCCAAGGCTACTTACTGGTAACTCATTGCTCTCTCCGATCACCTGACACAATTCTACCTCACTTTGCATACCTCTCATATTCGTCTCTTCCTCTTCCTCTGTTGTGTCACCATCATAATCCAAATATTCATGGTACCTTGCCTACACCACTGTGCTGGCTGCTGTCACTCTGTCAATGGTGAAAGTCTAGCAGCCTCTAGCCTGAAGTCTGTGATCTACACCCACATAACCCTCCAGCGTATCTCTAAAGTCAAGCCTCATGTACCACTAGAAGTTCCTTTGTTGTGTCTTTGTTCATGTTCTCCTCTGCAAGCTCCCTGCCTCGAATTTTGCCTAGAGAATTCCTAATCCTCCTTCAAGAGTCCATCCAGAATTTATCTCCTGTGGGAAGTCTTTGCTGCTCCTCCCAGAGCATTTATACTGGAGCATTTATAACACTAGTGAACTATGATACCCTACGGACAGGACAGGTATCTTTCATCTTGGCATCTCTAATGAAGTACGTGGCACTTAGTGAGCACTCAAATGTGGGCTGAATAAATAAATGAATGGGTGCATTTAAAGCCCACGATGATATTGCATCAATCTTATTTTCTTTTTCTCCTTTCTGCATATCCTGTGACCCTGTCAGAGAAAACTCACTGCTTCTAGTACATACCCCAAGAGTTCCTACTTCTGTCTTTTCTTGCTCTGCTGACTGGCATGCTCTTCTCTCAAATCTTTCTCCATATGGGATCAGGGAGGTGAAGAGCATGATTTCATGGTTAAATCAACCCAATCCAAATCTTGCCTTAATATCTATGTGACGTTGAGTAAGTCACTTTACCTATCTATGTCTCAATTTCCTCATCTATATAATCAAAATAATAGGACCTAACTCACTGAGATGATGTGAGGAGGTTTAAATGTGATAATTATGTTGAAGTGGTAAATTTTTGCTGTTCAGCTCAAAATAATCAGTCAGCAAGTGGAAGCCAGTGTTCACCATCGTTGGAGGCCTGGCTTCAGGGACATATCTTTTGTGAAGTTTGCTATTTTACTCATGTGCCCAAGGTTGCTAGTTACCTAATACCTATTCTTTTCTTCTTCCTTACAAATGAAACCCTGATTTGGCCGAGAATGAAAATGTCAGAAAAAGCATCTCTCAGCCTTCCTTGGAAATAGGGGTGGCTCCGTGACCCTGTTCTGGCCAGTCACTGGGTGGAGCTTCTGGGAAGGTTCCTTAGAAGGGACAAACTAACTGGCGTGCGTCTTTTGCCCTCTACCCTTCCTGTCTGGAATGAGGAGGTAATGGCTGGTGCTCCCGCAGTCACTTTGTATGCAGGTGGGCAGGAGGAAGAGGGAGCGAAAAGGCAGGAAGCTGGGTTCCTGAGGACACGGAGTTGTTGAATGAGCCCTGCACTGCCTACATCTAGACTTCTTTGGGAGGCACAAAATAAATAAATTAACCTCTACATCATTTAAGGCACTGTTGTTTGGATTTTCTTTCACATATCTTGCTTTTAGATCTTTTTCAGTGTATCTTGATTCCTACCTGATATGCCTCTGCTGAAAGTAACCTCTTCTTTGCTGGAACTTCTACTGTACCTCATCTGTGCCTCTCTCATAAGTACAATCACCTTTTGTATTAGACTGCAAATTACATCAGGAGTGACCATATCAGATTTATCTTTTTCTTTTCAGTCACACTGTGCAGTTTTTGGGGATCCTAGTTCCCAGACCCCTGCAGTGGAAGCATGGAGTCCTGACCACTGGACCACCAGGGAAGTCCCAGATTTATCTTAATTCACACTACCATGTTTTGCATAGCACCTTCATATAGGTAAAACTCAATACATGAAAGCATTTTGTAAACTGCAAAAAATCATGCAATCATATTATCTGGTAACTATGTCAAAGACACATAAGAGACAGAGGGCAATGTTTTCAACTTTGAACAAGATAAACATTTTCCTGAGTCACCCAGTATGTTATAGATATGGCATGATATTTTTTAATTGGATATTATATGTACATATATGCATGAAGTTATTATTAAAAGCAATTTACCACTAATTTGAAAGACTAGTATTTAACTAGCTGGCTGTAGGACATACATGTACTGTAATCTGCAAAAGAGGTTATTCAAAATACCTTTATATTTCAAATAAAAATGCTGAAATTAGGTATTACCATCCTAATAGCTCCGCCTTTCCCACGATTCTTCACCAGCGTTATCACTCGAACTTTGTCACTTCCATATTTCTGGCAATATTTAAAAGCTACCTGTCAAATTATATAAAAGTCAGAATAAAATAAATTTGAATTCCAAGACAGCAATATAAACTGGGTCTCTGATTTTGGCTTAAACACTGCTATTCTAATTGCCCTCTCCTTGTGACTAGATTATACCCACCGCACATTTTGGTGGCCGAGAGGAGTTGTTGAATTCCTGGTGCCAAGATCCGACACTGACCTACTAGGTCGAAGTCACAATTCACTTTCCTGCAGAGGAAACACCAGAACAGGCAGTGGCCATCTCTTATTCTCTTGACTTTTTTGCCTAGGCTACCAAGCTGCCAGAAAAAGTAAAAATAAAACCCATGCTCTAATTGACTGGTACACATTTTTGTGTGTGTGTGTGTGTTACGCGGGCCTCTCACTGTCGCGGCCTCTCCCGTTGCAGAGCACAGGCTCCGGACGCGTAGGCTCAGCGGCCATGGCTCACGGGCCTAGCTGCTCCGCGGCACGTGGGATCTTCCCGGACCGGGGCACGAACCCGTGTCCCCTGCATCAGCAGGCGGACTCTCAACGACTGCGCCACCAGGGAAGCCCTGGTACACATTTACGATTGGGCTCCCAATACTGCCTAATGACCTGTTTACTTGTCAGCAACTGACCTCATTCCGCAGAGAAGCTGTTTGTATCCTAGACCATTTTCCCCAAATCTTCTCACTCGAATTCCTGGCTCTCAGCAGATAATCATCCACGATCTGTCCTCTTCTGAATCTTCAATCTCTTCCTCTTTTCTGGGTCCTCAGCCTCTAATATGCTCAAAACTCCAGCATCTTAAACATTTTCCTTTGACTTCACTATTATCTTAAGCGACTGCCACTACTCTTTGATCTAGTATCAAAGTCATGAAATGGTGATCTGTATTCGCTATCAACATCTCTTTGTCCCTCATTTAGACTTCAAGCCATTGGGGTGTGGCTCATGCCCTTTGCTTTTCCACATCACCCTCTGCAGAACCTCTTCATCACCCCTTGCCTCTGAGGCTCATTTCCATAGGCAGTTGTGAAGTTATTTTTTTTTAATTTTTATTTATTTATTTTTGGCTGCATTGGGTCTCCATTGCTGCGTGTGGCCTTTCTCTAGCTGTGGTGAGCTGGGGCTACTCTTTGTTGCGGTGCACGGGCTTCTCATTGCAGTGGCCTCTCTTGTTGCGGAGCACAGGTTCTAGGCATGCGGGCTTCAGTAGCTGTGGCATGTGGGCTCAGTACTTGTGGCTCGCGGGCTCTAGAGCACAGGCTCAGTAGTGGTGGCGCACAGGCTTAGCTGTTCCGTGGCATGTGGGATCTTCCTGGACCAGGGCTCGAACCTGTGTCCCATGCATTGGCAGGTGGATTCTTAATCACTGCATCACCAGGGAAACCCCTGTGAAGCTATTCTTATCTGGTGTTTGCACTCCTGTCTTCAGACTCAGCTCAAACACCATTTCTTCTTCCTAGCTTCCACGCCCATCGTCACCTTCCCCAGGGAAGAAGTATAATTCTAATAAGTATTCCTAATGCATTTTCCCATTCAACTGTTACTTCTCTCATCTGTAGATCAGATAGATCTCTCATCTGTAGATCTGTAGAGCCTTCCCACTAGGAACAGGCTCAAGACTCCGGGATGCCTGAAACTTTCCTGACTTCATTATTATTAATAATCAAAGTCATGGAACAGTGATCTATATTTGCTATAAATCACTCTGCACCACTCATTTAGTAATGAACTGTACCCCTCCCCACTTGGCTATGAGCTACTTAAAGCCAAGGATTAATATATACGTGTATATATATGTGTATATATGTATATATGTGTGTGTATATATATATATATATATATATATATATATTTTTTTTTTTTTGGCTGCTTTGGATCTTGGTTGCTGCGTGCAGGCTTGTTGCTACTCTTGTTGCGGTGTGCAGACTTCTCACTGCAGTGGCTTCTCTTGTTGCAGAGCACAGGCTCTAGGCGTGTGGGCTCAGTAGTTGTGGCATGCGGGCCCTAGAGCGCGTGGGCTCAATAGTTGCGGCTCACGGGCTTAGTTGCTCTGCGGCATGTGGGATCTTCCTGGACCAGGGTGATCCCTGTGTCCCCTGCATTGACAGGTGGATTCTTAACCACTGTGCCACCAGGGAAGTCCCAAGGATTAATATTTTAGTGCCTGACACACAGCCTGGAATTGATTAATATCAGTGAACAAGGGTAGCCACCGTCCTTTGTACATACTCTTATTATAGGACTGTGGTGGCACTGTTAGCTGCTTACCCAACAAACAACACCTCCTTCCTTGCTCCTTTGGCCCCAGTCTGCATAGTGACAGTGTGTGCAGTCCTAGGAGATGAATCATTATTGGTCCAAATCCTCTTTACCATGTATTTATACTTTCCGAGCCCCTCTTGCAGGCAAAGGTGGCCATATCACCAAAGTTCTGCCTCATGGACTCTAGGGGAGGTCTGCTGGAGGGTGGGAGCTTCTTGTGAAGATTTTTATTCCTGGTTATAAAAGGAGAGAGGCACACAAGAGAATTCTTAATGTCCTGACTGTCTCAACTGCCTCAGGATCAGTGATATTTGGAGCTGTGCCCATTTGATGATGAGGGAGAGTGTGGTAACTGAAAAGACAGGGATCCAGCCACTTGACACTGTCCAAATGCTGAAACAACAATGTCCAGACCTTCTGGCGTATGAGATAATCAAACACTTTCTGTTACATAAGCTCCCCTCATGAGACACTTTCTAACTGATGAAAATATCGAACACATTGTGCTCTATTTCTCTGGAGCGTGTCTCCAGTATTGGATGTGAAGTCCTTGAAGGCAGAGGCAGGGCTCCATCTTTGTATTTTAGCACCAGTCCTACTCCTTGACTCATGTTAATGGCTCAAGAAATGTCTATTCAGAGAACATTTATTTGAGTTGCTGATGTTTATTCTGGGGTGGCAGAAAGCATGATAGTCATCATAAGACCCAAACCAGGAAGATGAAGTCACTGGGCATGCAGCTGAGTGCACTGAAAGGCACTTGACCAGGCGAGGATGAGGGCTCTTTCTAAAGGGGACGTGATCTGGCTTTGAAGGAAGCAAACACCACTGAGGCCCACCTGCTTGGCTTATACAGACACTGACACTTCACAGTATGCCCTGCAGAACACGGCAGCAGCTGACACTTGCTCACCATTTGTGAATTCAGCTCACATGGAATGCTTACCTTTCTGGCATCTTATGTTATGTGAGGGTATAATAAATATCTCTGTACAAATGCAATACTCTCTTATTCTGTACTTTGGCATAAATTTTACCCCTTAGTTTAAAATTCCTTAAGAACAAGAACTATATCTAAATTTTTTCCCAGACCCCTCGGAGAGTGAAACGTGTTACGGGAAGATAATAAATACTCAACTTAGGGGAAAAGAGTTCCTTTTTCTTTTTTAAAAAAAAAAATTTTACAAACTATGATTTCAAGTTTTCTGTTTCTCCCAACCTTGGGAACAAGTGCGAACCTCTCCCTCTTGGATCCTTCCAGAGAGCAGCCTGAGACTCACATGGCAAAAGGCCTTGAAGGAAATACTCTTCAGGAAAAGCTGCTTCTTCTCAGCGGGGCTGAGGCTGCTCTGTCATCTCAGCAGTAGATGCCCGATGCTGACTTTCTACACCACTCCCTTCATATACTAATAAACTGTGGGACAGTTTGTGTTCATCTTTCAAGTCATACTATTCCAAGTGCAGCACCTACTCTTCCTAACACAGATCCACCAATACTTTCAGGCCTCTATGCCTTTGTTTACATTATATATTTTTTTCAATTTGAATATACTATCCTCCATGTTCCTAGTCATTATCACCCTTAGAGGTTTAGTTCTCTTTCTCTCAAATTCTTTTCAGCATCTTTCTCTTTGGCTCCATTTTTACCTGCATTACAGAAATTGGAGCCGTGCTGCCTGACTGTCCTGGGGGCTCCTTATACCAGGGGGCAGGCGCGTGTACCTGTGGGGTCCAGCCAGTGTCCAGCACTTCCTGCACAGCTGGAGTTGACCAAAATCATAACTGATGAATAATCAGGTGAACAGATATTCCCCTGTATATTTAAGATCTATTATGTTGCCATTTAACAGGAATATTAATAGCACCGTAAGTGAATCTTTTATTATAGAAACATGAGTGTCAAAAACCAAAATGTGAAGCAGTCATAATAACAAAAATACTTTGATGTTTGGAGAGTAATTTATCAGGATCACCGACAAGATTTAATACATGTACTACTGCAGGATTAATGCACCAGGGCCCAGCAGTTACAGGTCTAGGAATGCAGGAAGGAGAGAGGATAAACCCTAAGATACTGTCACTCCATGGGTCAATCTAGAAGGGACTGTGGGGTAGGCCAAAGGACATACCCAATCCCCAGGGGCAGATATGAAGGTGTCTTCCTATTTGCATGACTACTTTAGAAACCGTAATTTAAGGTGGAGCATAGAGAAAAGAATTATGCTTAGAATAAAAGGAACCATAAATTGGTGGGCAAAGAGGGTTCCCCAGAGGCCAAGGTGAACTGTTGTTATGTGTACTCTCTCCCTATTTGGTGACCTTCCAAGCTTCCCTGGTCTCAAGGAGCAGTGGAAAGGCAGGTATATTTTCCAGCTTCCCATATATGAAATCTCTCTGCTTTTTCTACTACCCACTTATGTTAAATGGAGAGCATCTGGCACACCTTTAGGGTTCTCTGATGAGCGGAAATATGATTTTACATTTGCAGATTATTCCATCTGTTGGCAATTCTAAAAGCAAGTTTACTTACCTTTGAAGTCTCGTCTTTGCTGCCATCATCAACTACTATTACTTCATAAGTGAATGTAGGATCTTGTTTCTGCAAGAAGCAAAGATAAAATACCACAATTTGGCATGACTGCCATCAAGATTTCTAATAAAGTTGTAAGGAAGTTAAGAAACAACTGTTTTACAAATAACCCAATTGAAAAATGTGCAGAAGACCTTAACAGACTTTCTCCAAAGCAGACATACAGATGGCCAGTAGGCACATGAAAAGATGCTCAACATCACTAATTATTAGAGAAATGCAAATCAAAACTGCAATGAGGTACCACCTCATACCAGTCAGAATGGCCATCATTATAAAGTCTACAAATAAATGCTGGAGAGGGTGTGGAGAAGAGGGAACCTTCCTACACTGTTGGTGGGAATGTCAGTTGATACAGCCACTATGAAAAACAGTATGAAGGTTCCTCAGAAAACTAAAAGCAGAATTACCATATGATCCAGCAATCCCACTCCTGGGAATACACCCAGACAAAACTATAATTCAAAAAGATATATGCACCCCTATGTTCACAGCATCACTGTTCACAATAGCCAAAACATGGAAACAACCTAAATGTCCATCAACAGATGAATGGATAAAGAAAATGTGGTATATATATACAATGGAATATTAGTCATAAAAAAGAATGAAATAATGCCATTTGCAGCAACATGAATGCAACTAGAGATTATTATACTAAGTGAAGTAAGTCAGAAAGAGAAAGACAAATACCATATGATATCACTTATATGTGGAATCTAAAATATGGCACAGATGAACCTATCTACAGAACGGAAACAGACTCATAGACATAGAGGACAGACTTGTGGTTGCCAAAGGTGGTGGGGGGGGGGTGGGATGGACTGGGAGTTTGGGGTTGGTAGATGCAAACTATTACATTTAGAATGGATAAACAACAAGGTCCCAATGTACAGCACAGGGAACTATATTCAATATCCTGTGATAAGCCATAATCAAAAAGAATATTAAAAAAAGAATGTATACATGTGTATAACTGAGTCACTTTGCCGTACAGCGGAGATTGGCACAGCATTGTAAATCAACTCTACTTCAATAAAAAAAATTTAAAAAAAGAAACAATTGTTTTAGTGTTGATATGTATAAATATGAACATAAATATAAGTGCACAAAGCACATAAAGGAAAAAGGCCAAGGACAGAAAGGAGACCAGAGACTGGGAGGGAGTTGAAGGTGAACACGGACCAAGTCTCCATGGGCCTCCTGTGCTCCCCTGGCTGCCCTCCTGAGCACCACTCAGAGGCTATGAGGTATACAAGGCAAAGCCATGAGGTCTGAAGTCAGGGGTGCAGGTTCCACGTGGCTGTGCCACTTCTTAGCTTTATGACCTCGGGCAAGTTAGCATTTTGGGCCTATTTTCTCGCAAAAAAAAATAACACAACCTAGTCCACGTGGCTGGTGTGCAGATTACACATAATAGAAGAGGCAGAAGCTCAAATATAATAAGGGCTCAGTCCTCTTCCTCTTTTTTTCCCTCTTTCGATGAATCTTCTCTTTTCCCTTTACACAAAAAGAACCTAAAACAAAGTAAATCAAAACAAGGAGTTTTCTAAAAAAAAGAAACAGCCATAAATCTTACTTATTTTCTTAAACTCTCCCAAGAGATTCCAATGGCAGCAGATACAAAAGAGGGGCACATGCTACTTTTCTTCTCTTTATGCAGAGAAAGCAGAGGAAAATAAATGAGGGGGGACTCTTCAGAATAATAAAGACATACAAAATGATTTCACTCTAGTTATAGGTCTTTTTCAAATAAACGTCTTACTTAAAAAGTCACAAAAGCAAAAACAGCATTGTGCTGTCATACAAAGTCTGCAGACACACTATCACTCAATTTTAAGTATATCATCAGGCAAGAGAGGATCAAAGGGGGGAGGGAGAGTCCGTAAGAGGAACATCAGCTTTCCTGTTTGCTCTGGAGGGAGTGTGCTGTCGGGCTTGCCTGCAAATGGCTGACGGCTGGCAACATGCTGAGCACAGAGGCCAGGACCACGATGGCCCGAGAACGGATGGCACTGCCTCTCACAGTGGATCTAGCCCCGGGGTCCACAGCTTGATGACCTGCTCTACTTTTAATTAGACCCCATACTGGACGAGAAAACACAATACCTGTCTCTCCTCTAGATAGCCCAGAGCTTCATCCATCATTACAGGCACTTAAAGAAAAAAATATATATTAAAAATTGCTTTTGAAAATAACTTTCCCAGTCCCAGAACAGTTTGCATATGGAAAATGCCTGAATAACCTAACAAGTCCCTCCTGGACTGCCCCCCAGTGGCCATTTCCACCTGGAATGTCTGTCTTCTGTTCACCTCTTGCTCATCACTCCTCTAGAACACTTCAGCCCTAGACCTGATGCGGCTGCTAACACTCATTCTTTCTCTTCTGAACTACAACTACCAACTGTGCACTCTCCATAGCCCACAGGTATCAACGTTCTGGCCAAGTCCATACTTTAAATGTCCTTTTCTTCCCAAATTACCCCTTACCAAAAAAATCGAGTAGGGCTTACACCGTTTTTCTTCATTGTATGAAGGCACGACCACAGAAAGCTGCTTGGTAGGCGAGTCTCGTATGCTGGGTAAGGCTTCCCTCTGGACTCTGGCATTTAAGAAGAACTTCTCATCTTCATGTCGATGCAGGTGTGGCATCTCTGTAGCAGTTATAAATGCAACAAAGGAAATCTAAAGGCAGATATGTTAATAAGAAATTGTGTTATGTTGACCTTTTTAAACATTTGCTACATTAGAATACATCATTTACATGATTTTTTCACCCTGAGGTGAAATATTTATTGTTTTAGTCCATTAACAATGGTCTGGAGGTGACTTCAAAATTCAAACCAGTCAGTTCCCTATTTTTGAACTGATTATTATTGTCCTTTTTTTTCCCTAACTAAGCATTTTCCCTAATGCTCTAGGAGGCTCTTTGTCTCCTCTCACTTGTCATTCTCCAGCCTCTGTCACCCCAGATATAAAAGGGAACAGTCATTACAGAAGTGCCATCTACTCTGAGATGCCCTGAACTCCTGACCCCTGGTACACACACAGCGAGACCCCATTCCACTTGGAGCCTATGTGATCGAGGACACACTGCAGGTAGAGCTTCTGGGTGAGGGCAGACCTCCCATCTGAGACCAGGTTGACCCAGAATAGGAAGGGAAGAGTCCCCCAACCCCTAGAGTAGGGACCAGTAGTGCTTAAGAATATATTCTTGATACTTATCCCAGATTTGAATTCAGAATACACTATTTTTTGGAGTCAGGTATCAAACTTGTAGGCTGTAGGCACCATCCCACTGCTAACATTATATAACCCCCTTCCATATTCAGTGGGGACCTAGCCCTGGAAATAACCATTCTTTGTAACATTGTTTCCATTGGTATACTTTCTGCTTTCAAAACAATCAACCTACCAACTTTTGGAATGCTACTCATTTGTACTTCAGTGACCATTTATAATATTCTATTGGGTACATACTGAAACTGAATATGCTTCTGATTAGTATGAATATGAAGGCAGTACCCAGACTAGTGGCTAAAGAGTTCCTGCTCTGCACCCCTAGTGTCCAGATTGTGGTTTCTAAATTCAATTTCCTATTAAAAGTAACCAATGTTCCTAAGAGGAATGGCTGATTCAGGTCCAGGCCAGGAAATGTACAATGGTGGTCAGAGACGGGAAAGCAAGGAGGCTACCAACAATCATGACAAAGTAGCCAACTTGACAGGCTCCCATTGGCCTGTGAGGGGGAAATTTTAAGCATCAAAAAGAATAATTAATGCAATGTATTAAAACACATGAAAAGTTTTATATCACGGATTCATGATACTAAATATAAAAAATTAGTCACCTTTGTAAGATGCCAGGGAACCATCTCATTATTTTGAAAACTTGCCTTTTATCTTACCTTTTATATATGAAAGATATTTCAGCGTTATCAAATAGCTGATGAAATTTTTTTCATTATAAAATTCCAGGTAATACATGAAGAAGGAATGATACAGTCAGAATATTCCACTTTGCAACCCACAGTGAAATACTGGATTTAGGCAGTGATCATCAATGACTGCTAAACCACTAGGTTAATGACACACTTCATAATCGGTGGGTCAAGCTAACAACTCCTGAACCCAAGAATCCCTCTTAATACCAAAGAAAATCAGAGATTAACACACCTCCTGACACGACACAAAAGGAAGTAATCAGCATCACTCACACACTTCTTTTGATTAAAACAAACATGCATTTCATCAAATCTCTAGATGTAACTAGCAGTTTACAGGAAATTCAGGGGACAGAGTAAGACGTTAAAAGTCACTTAAGGGATAAAATTAGTAAAATCCAGACTGTGAGAAATTCTACAGGACAAATGACCTCTTATTAAAGAAAAGGAAAAAAAGGGAGGAGAAATTGTTATAGTTTAAGAGACTTGAGACATACCAATCGAGTGCTAAGTGTGTGTGAATACTGAATGGAACAAACCAATTTACTAACACATACATGAGGCATTTGAACTGATGCAGTATTTGAAATCACTGAACAATGTTAAAAAAAATCTGCAATAACCTTATTGTGGTTTTATTTTAAAAAGGGGGTCCTATCTTCGGAGATAAATGCTTAAGATTTACGGATAAAATGTTATGCCTTGAATTTGCTTCAAAAGTAATTCAGAAAGGAAGTGGGGTGAGGAGACAGTGGGGAGATACATGTATGTATATGTGTGTGTGTGTGTGTGTGTGTGTATATGTGTGTATATATACACACATATACATATATATTCATTGAAAAAAAAAACAAAGTTCCACTAGTTGGGTGACATTTGCATACCAGCTCATCAGCTTCCTCACCAGTCAAAGGAAGCTAATGATAACATTTCTGTCAGCACTGTTTTAAAGATCAAACGAGATAATCCCTGTTGAATGCTGAATACAATACCCAACATACTGTAAGTACTCAATAAATAACAGCTTTTATAACCAGTTCTGGCTAATAGGATCAAATACTTCCAGTACAATCTCATAACGTACACATTTAAATCTGTGCAACACAGTCAACACAAGGCAGATTCAGTCTAGGATTCTGTCAAGCTCTGCCCAACCCAAAACCTGAAACCTCCCTCCCCCCCAAATCTCCATATACACTAAGGGAAAGAGAGGACTCCTCTCTCACCCAGACATAAACCCTAAAGAAGTCAGGATACACCACTTTTTCTCTATCTACACTACTTTTAAGCCATACATTCTGGCCAGATGGCAAAGTGGCCTTCCTGGCAATGCTATCTAGGCTGCTAACCTTAACGTCAAGGAAGCGGAAAACGCTCCATTTACAAACTAGAGGCAGGCCCATTCCAATTATATGGGAGAAAGCTCACTTAACAAATTTCCTATTACCTATGGATCAGCAAGTGTTACAATGTTTCCGTGTTTCCACAGTAATGGCAAAGAAAATCGTAGTTTGAATTCCCCTGTACTGTCTCTTCTAGAGGCAGCAAGCTTAGGGTGTTGAATTCTAGGATATAACGACCCCCAGGCGTATGATAACACCAGGCCTTGTCTATCTTGGTCTTCCTATGTCCCTAGTGGGTCTTCCTGATCCGCTGATTTATCCAATCTGTAACAGGCGGCTCTTGTCAGTGCTGTCAACACTTTCTGTATGCTTAACTACACCAGGAAAGGGAGTGTCTAGAAAGCACACACTTTCTGGGGGCTCAAGACCTTCCCGATGGGGCCAGAACTACAGCGATTGCAGACCCGGGAGGAAATCTTGGAGAGGTCGGGGCTCAGAAGGCGGGTGGGCAGAGTCCGGGGACCAGGGGTGACATAAGACAGGGTGGGCATGTCCCAGTAAACACAAGTACTAGGCTCTGGGCACGCAGGGATATAAAGCTCTAAAGTAAACATAAAGAACGGAAGAAAGGGGGTGTGAAATTCTAGCAGAGGAAATTCTGGGGTCAAGGCTCAGAGGAAGTATGGTGCAAGGGACACGCCCAAGAGCCGGCAGCGCGGAGGAGAGGATGCCTGGGGCCCGAGTCTCCCGGAGAGCAGTGAGCCCAGGCCCGCGTCGGTCCCCAACCCCTCTCCTCACCAGAATCAGGGCTACAGCCGCCAGCGCCGCGCCGAGCACCGCCAGCTGCAGCAGGAGCGGAGCCATCCTCCATGCCGGCGAAGCCGCCCGTCCTATCCCGCGCCTACACACATGCGGAAGTGCGGCCGCGCAGCCCCGCCTCCCACCCGCAGAGAGACAGCGCCAGCCGGGCGCCCGCCGCCCACAGCGCCGCCGCGGCCAGACCCAGCCACGACCCGGGAGCCCGCGCCGCCCACAGCGCCCCCGCGCGGCAAGGCGAAGAATATGTAATTGTATAGGAGGCGCTCAGTCCGTTTTTGGGAGGGCGGGGGGCCGACTCTCTGTTCCACCGTAGTAAGGTTGCCGGAATTGGCAAGTACAAATTCAGGATGTCCACATAAGTTGAATTTCACATAGGAAACGAATCGTTTTTTAAACAGCATTATTAAAATAAAACTCACAGACCATATAACCCACCCATTTGTTTTTGGTATATTACATTAATTTTTTAAAACTGTGATAAAACATAAAATTTCCCATTTTAACCACTTTATGTGTACACTACAGTGGCATTAACTGCATTCACAATTTCCTGCAACCATCACCACCATCTATTTCTAAAACTTTCCCAGTTCTCCCCCAGCTTCTGGTAACAATAACACGAACTACTTTGGGTGTACTCTTTGTTTATCTGACATTCAAACTGAATTGGATGCCCTGTATTTTATACGAAGGAGATGGAGGTCTTGAGCCACGACACAGGATACAACAAAAGCTGCTCCTTTGGAGCCCGCTCCCGGCACCTGTAAATGTCACCTGGTGCGGAAAACGAGCGCACAGAAAATTTACGTAATTCTTCGGTGCTGGAGCAGGGAGGCTTTTACCTGGGAGAAGGCAAGCCCAGGGCCCAGAATAAGAAGGAGAAGGGAAAAGGACCCTGAAACACTGGAATTATGCTCCACACTCAACACCTGATTCTTTCCTTTATATAAGGTCGGTTTTCTCTGAAACTCTTCAACCACCAGTCTCTAAACAGGCACTCATCACTTCTGTAATAGCCGATTCGTCAAAACGTGTCAAAGTCTAGGAAACCTCGAGGGGCGTCTGGCTAGGGGAAGTCTAAGCAAATGCAGGCTGGAAACCTTCCCCACGCCGCCCGCTCCACCCACTCCACCCTGCCTTCTAGATACCCGGCAGCGGGAGAAGGGCGCAGGCGTCAGTATTGAAAATGCGAAGCGGGGCCTCAGAGCCGGCGGAAGGGGCAGTGCTACCCAGGCGAAGGCGGCGCGCGCGCAGGCGCAGGCGCTCAGACGCGCAGACGCAGACGCGCAGACGCAGACGCGCAGACGCAGACGCGCAGACGCAGACGCGCAGACGCAGACGCGCAGACGCAGACGCGCAGACGCAGATGCGCAGACGCGCGGGCGGAAGATGGCTGCCGGATTCAAGTGAGTGTGGGAGGCTGGTGGGCGCGAGTTCGTACCGTGCCGGTTGGCGGCTACCGTTACCCGTAATTTTCTCCCCAGGAGACCCCCCCCCCCCCACACACACCTGGTTCCCACTTCTTTCCACCACGGAAGCGGGCGGCGAGCGGGAGGACTGGAGGTGGTCGTAGTGAAAGGAAAGGGGGCCTCTTCCCGTCGGGGAGGCGAGCGCTGGAAGGGGCTGTGTTGAGCTCGCTACCCGCTGCGAGCGCTGTGGCTTGGTGTGTAGTAGACATGCAGACCCCGGGGAGCAGTTGTAACCTCGTGAAAAGTGTTCTGTTAGAAGCACCTGCCACGCTGCTCTCCCTCTCCCTTGAAATTTATTTCTAAAAGCGTTGTTCCTCGTTCGGAAGGTTTTACTTAAGCGTTTTTGCTGCCGCTCTGGAGAAGCTTGTAGATTTTCGTTCTGAGTCCAGTTTTAAATAAAAGAAATAAGATTGCAAAGGAAACCAGTTGTACTGAAACAGTTATCTGTTTGTATAAATTCCAAGTTTATGGTATAATGAGATATACATCTGTTTTAGAATTAACTTTCTTAATTAAGATCTCCTGGGGAGGTTAGTAACTAACTCCTGGAATTTCGAAGTAACGATGAGTCTTACAGGTACCTTTGACAACTCTAAAGTAAAAACGAAAACATTTACTCTCTGTGGTTGTTAAAGTCGCAGGTACGGCTAACATTAATGGTTTATTGCCAACGGTCGTAATTGAAGAGTATGCTAAATTTCAGTCACGGGATAGCGAAAAATATGTAACTTTTTTTTCCTGCCCACCAAGAATCCCTGCTTCAGAGTGAGAGTGATGTTATTTTCACACCTGTATTAATCCTCTTCTAAAGATGCCCGAGGGTTTTGGGCTCCAACCCTATACTTGTTTAAAGCAAAATTAAGGACAGCCTTTGAGTATGATTATTGCAAAGGTATCTAATTTTTATAATTAGCAACACGTGGCAACAAAAACGTTAGAATTCATGAAAGAAACTTAGTTACAAATTTTGGAGATTTCTGCTCCATCACCACACTATTAAGATTTTTGCCAGTTTCTGGATTTATATTGATTTACTAATTTATCTCATTTTTAACATGTGTTTCAGAACTGTGGAACCTCTGGAGTATTACAGAAGATTTTTGGTAAGTAAAGGTGGTTATGTACATTTTTTGCTTTTTGATAATGATATCGTGCTTTTTTCATAAATACAAGTATCAATCATTACATTGCACACCTAAACTGTCATACGACAATTATACCTCAGTTTTTAAAAGACAATTTTCAAGTAATTCAAATTAATTTGAATTAACGAGGTTTAGTGTATTTTCACTGGTGTGTGTAAAATATACACGTAGATGTAATCTACTTTCATATATTTATTTAGAAAGAGAATTGCCGTCCTGATGGAAGAGAACTTGGTGAATTCAGGACCACAACTGTCAACATAGGTGAGGGTATTTTGAGTTCTAAAATAGAATGTTGAGGTTGCTTCAGTTCTGAAAATAGTTTTTATTTAAAGTAAATTTTTCTTTGCAAAGTTTTTTTAAACTCACTGTCCTCTCAGTTGTTATGCTCATTTTAAATTTTAAAATAACTATAAAGTGTTTTCCTGCTTTCCCCTGTTCAAAACTTCTAAGACATGGTTTTCTTACATATCTTACATTTATTAAACCTTCTGTTGCAAACATGGAATTTCCCAATTTTACCTATATGACATTCCCAAGTTTTAGCCTCTGAGCCATTTAAACAGTATTTCAGACAAATTCTACCGTGTCTAAGGGATTTTGTGTCAAGAGATTTAAATCTTTGTAACAGCCCTGTGATTGAACAACAAAGGATTAACTCACTTCAGGGACAATGAACAATCCTTAGACCAGTGCAGCTGACCCTTGAACGACGAGGGTGTTGGGGTGCCGGCCCTCGCACAGTCAGAAATCCAAGCGTAATTTTACAGTTATGGATCGGTGCTTCGTAACCGAGGCTGTGCATCCTCAGACTCAACCAACTGTGGATCGTGTAGTACTGTGGTAATATTTATTGGAAATAATCCTTGTATATAGGTGGAAAGGTGCATTTCAAACCCATGTTGCTCAGGGGTCAACTGTAATTTTAGAAAGACTCAAGAAAGGAATAAATTTTCATAAACAACTTAGATATGTAGCAAGATAGAATCATACGTAGAAGACGAAAACACTTTTTCATTTTGTTTAAATACTTACCTTTTCAGGTTCAATTGGTACTGCAGATGGTTCTTCTTTAGTGAAGCTGGGAAACACTACAGTAATTTGTGGAATTAAAGCGGTAGGTTTACTGTATATATTACTAAGATTTGAGTTACTAAATTAGCTTTATATACTTATTAGATTGTAATACACACCTGTAGTTCTGCTGTTGATTAGGCAATAAGGTGTCTTTTTTAGTATTTGTTTTCATTTCCCAAGTTTTCACCTTTGAGTTTTAGATAATACAACCCAAGTTTAATGGCTCTTAATTACAATTTATGAACATTCTCAAATGTGCTGAAATGGAACAACTTAAAACAATCCTCACCACCTTTACTTTTTAAAGAATTTGGTTGTAATTTGAGAAATTGAGAGATTTTTGATGACATTTTTATCTAGTGATGCCATTTAATCTGTGCAAATGTGTAGAAATTGCTCAAAAGAAAAGCTTGAGGGAATAATAGCTACTATTTACTGAGTATTTGCTATGTTCCAGGCACCTTGTGTTAGGTGTTTTACAGAATTATCCAGTTTAATCCTCAGGATAATCATTTGAAGTATTTCTTTCTTCATTTCCTATTTTACATGACATTCAGTAACTTGTCCAGGAACATAAGGCTCATGAATAGAACTTAGACATGACTGACTCCAAAGCCTCTGCTTTTTCGACTACACTGAACTCTGAGTTACTTAACCTAAGTTCATTCAATAACTGGCCCAAAGTCTCTCAGCCAAAAGGTGTGGGTCTCACTTTTGAATTAGGTAATTCTAGGGCTTTTGCTCTTGACCATTATACCATCAATTCCTAAATCTGACTGTCAGTATCACCTGGAGTTTAAAAATTCAGATTCTTGGCTACTGAATAAGAGAATCTATTTTCTTTCTCTTAGGAAGAGAGAGTGGGACAGAAATCTAAAGAGCCCCAAGTAATTTTGATGAGTAGCACTACCATCAGCTGTGCTACTACACTGCCTTCTTGCCTTGCAGAGCTGGTGAGGCGCGGTCCAATGTTCCTAGAGCCCCTGACATACGTTCCTAAGCTCATCTTCCCAGTAGATGCTCATGATGTAGTTAACTAGCTAAGATGGTCTTTGGTAGAGGCTTCCATAACTGACTTCTTCACAATTTTTTAGTAGCTTCTTTCATAGGAAACATTTGTCTGCTTCTGTAGGAATTTGGAGCACCACCAACAGATGCCCCTGATAAAGGATATGTTGGTAAGTTAAATGCCTTCATAAATTTAATACAAATACTTTAAGACAGTTAACACTATTATTATAGTTAAATCTTAGTAGGTGAGTTGAAAAAATTATTCATAAGCTTCAGACGTCCCTGAAAAGTTTTATGTATGTTTATGTTAGAAGATAGCATAATAGCAAGATACAGAATTTTGTAAATACCTTTTATCAAACTTGTTTGATCACTTTTGGTTTATACAGATGTCATCAACCAAGAAAATAGATTCTCTTAGGCAAAGGGCTGTAATTGCAAACTTTTCTGTCTCCATAAAGAATTTTCCTTTATACCAGTATGTGATTTTTTTCCTTAACTTGGACCATCTTTTCTTTATGGTAGGAACCAACCTTTTAAAAATGCAGAACAGTTGGTATGAATAGAGGGGCTATTTACTGTTACAGATTGGGGTATTTTGAAAGAAACCCAGAAACTTTTGTGAATAATTTAGGATTAAGGCTGTTTCTTAAACACACGCTTTTTTTTTGGCGGGGCGGTTGTGTGGGAAAAAATAAATTTTATCTAAGCATAAGATTCTCACAGAGATGAAAAAGAATATAACTGATGTGTTACAGTGCTTTCCACTTGGAAAGCCTATCCATGCCTACAGTTGTCTTTTCCATGGATTGATATTATCTTTAAAACTAAACGACAGGTGACGTTTGGTTCATAGCTGCAGTTTCTTTCAGTTCCTAATGTGGATCTATCACCTCTGTGTTCCTGGAGATTTCGGTCTGGACCTCCTGGAGAAGAGGCCCAGGTGGCCAGCCAGTTCATTGCAGATGTCATTGAAAAGTAAGATCATTATGATAAAATGTGACTATCATTCATTTTAGAGAGTTTTTGAACTTTTATTTACTGTGTTCTATGTCTTCAAATCAAGTTCACAGGTAATTCAGAAAGAGGACTTGTGTATCTCTCCAGGAAAGGTAAGAGGAATAAAGAAGCTATGAGCTTTTATTAATTCTGAAATGTTTTGTGGGGGAAATTTAATTTCTTTTTTTTTAAAGTTTCTGAGCCTTGAAGGTTATCTTGATTGTCTAGCCAAGGGTGTGGTTTGTAAGTAGAAACAAATGCCACGTTATAGCAATCAGAAGGCTTTAATTTCCACTTTGTTTAAACTGTTTTAGCTTGCTTGGGTTCTATACTGTGATCTCATTTGCCTCAACCATGATGGAAACATTTTGGATGCTTGCACCTTTGCTTTGTTAGCAGCTTTAAAAAATGGTAAGCAACCTTAGGGAATACTCCTACTTATGTGTCAGAATGTTCCGTTTTGGTAAAATTTCTCAATAAATTTTTAAAGGTTTTTGTTAAGACTTACCTATCATTCATGTGTTTCTAAATTAAAGAAAAACGTGTTTGTATCTACTGTATTTGCCTTAATTGTTCTAAGATATATTTTTTAAAAAATACTACTTCTGGACAAGTTTAATAGAGGGAAAAGTGAATTAATGAAGCATAGAATGCCTTTTTGTTTCTTTCACTAGAGTGAGAGACTGACTTTACATATTCGCCTTTTTCTAGTACAGTTGCCTGAAGTTACTATAAATGAAGAAACTGCTTTAGCAGAAGTTAATTTAAAGAAGAAAAGTTATTTGAATATTAGAACTCATCCAGTTGCAACTTCCTTTGCTGTGTTTGATGAGTAAGTTAATCAAATGTATTAAAAGGTTGTATATTTACTTGAAGGGAGGACAAAGATTCTTACAAGTAGTAGAATTTCAGGTTGCTGTTAACTTTTCTGGTTTCTACCAGTTCTAGCTCCTTACTTAAGCTAAAATGCAGGTAGTGAGTTTAATTTGTACGGTTTTCTAAAATAAAATTTGTCCCATGGGTTGATAATTTATACCTTTTCATTTTTAAAATAGCACTCTGCTTATAGTTGACCCTACTGAAGAGGAGGAAAACCTGGCAACTGGAACCTTAACAGTAGTAATGGACGAGGAAGGCAAGCTATGTTGTCTTCACAAACCAGGCACGCACTTTCCTTCCATTGCAGTACTAAACACGTAGATGAAAACTCAGCATTGAGCTTCTTTATGTTAGGGAGGGCCAAATGGAATGTGGGATGTTTTACTGGTTTATGTAATGTAAATTTACTATGTGGTTTCTTTGTTACTTCAGATGCCTTGCATTTTTATATTGTATGTCAGTGGTTCTTAAACTTCAGGAGGTCTTGTTAAAACATAAACCTGCAAATCTTGAGACCACACCACTGGTTTATATTATTCACTTTTTTGGTTTTATGTCAATAACTTGACATGATGTAGATCATGTAAAAATAAGTGTTGGCACAATACTTTTTCAGGTGGAAGTGGACTGACTGGAGCTAAACTTCAAGATTGTATGAGCCGAGCCGTTACAAGACACAAAGAAGTAAAAAAACTGATGGATGAAGTATTTAAGAGTATGAAACCCAAATAAACAACCACCACATTTTCAAAACAGATTTGTAAAAACTGTATTTGTTACACTGTGCACAAACCTTTTATACTAAATAAATATCAAACTACATTCTTCTGAAAGATGTTTCTAGTATTTCTTAGGTCACTTCTGTATTATGTACAGTGAAACCATTTTTAAAAAGCAATGACTTAGGCAAACTCACCCTAATGGTTCGTTAAACCATTTCCCTGTTTTTATTTAAAAATCATAGGGTTGTGCTTCTGTATAAAGTTTGTATATCTAGCAATGTAAAATACTGACACGTTAAAAAACAAAAACAAAGTAGAAACTCAGAATCCTTTTGATTCAATGCTCTTACGTTTTTTAAAAAAAAAATAATGCAAGCCTCAGAATTTTGGAGTGGTTGGCGTGCCTCTCTTCATTTTACTTTTTGACTGGCTGCCTGTATGCCGATGACGATGTAGCTGAGCTGTCTGTGCTGCTGCTGCTGCCGCCATAGCCATTTGATGCTGCAAGAACCGCAACTGCTGCAAAGCAGAGGGGAAAAAAATCAAGTTAGGTTAAAGGTAGGCAGGTATGGAAGATGCTTTTCCTGAGAGTGATGAAAACAACAAAACAAAGGGAGAAAGCACCAAGGTAACAAAAAAGGACTATACCACATCAGGACAATGCACAGTCAAACAGCACCAGTGGCACAGAAGCCTGCTGCGGGCTTTAAAAATGGCTCTTGGTAAACTTCAAAAGTATTTCTGTTACTTTGCCTGGCCAGTCTATATTGCAGTAACTCAGCAACTTCAGTTACCATTTTGTTGTATGATAGTTTATAGCAATATAAAACCACCCTGCAAATTAAAGAAAGTCAACTATAATATGCTGACTTCTAGAATAATGGAACAACATTCTTCAAAAACAGGTATGACATTTACAAATAGGAACACTGGTACACTTGCCTTTTTCTGCAGTACAGTATTAAAAAGTTAACCATTGGCACTTACAACTATTTCAAAATGTACTGAAACCTATAAAAATGTATGTTAATGTGCCACCAGCACTTCAGGAAAGATTTTGAATTAGGAAAGGAGTATGACTTAAATGTACAAAATATTCAGTGCTCCAAGTTCACTGGCTAAAATTGTCAGACTTTTAAATAAAATTTGCTAAATTATTTACCAATTACTGTATAGTCTTAAAAGACAGTAACATAAAACTAAAGTAAGGTATTTTGAAGTACTTTTGGAGCAGAGTATCTTTAAAAATGTAACCAGAGTGAAGTTGCTGGATTACTTGGATCTGTTGCTGCTGCTGTTGAAAGGCAGAGGAGAGCTGGAATCTCTGCTGAGGAAGGCTTTGCTCAGGTCTGTTCTCGGCAGAGCCAAGCTGAGACAACACTACAGAGAGGAGAAGGGGAAAGCAGGCCAGTCAGAAAGTTTGAAGGCTACCAGGGTTAGAAAAGGACAACATAGAAAATGAAATAATAGAAAAGTATCAGTATGATTAATCTTAAGTATCAAATCACAGACATTTCAGAATAAATTTAGTACAGTCTCCTGTTAGTTGAGGGTACCATTGATGATAGAACTTCCTGGACATGGAAGAGAAGGGAAAGCATGTGGGCCAAAGCACTGTATCCCTCTCTTTTCTTACATCTCAATGAAATTTGATACTAGTGCTATTTTGTTGAGAAGGCTTTCTAGCAAAACATTGAATACAGTATGTTATTTTAAAATATAACCAATCAGGTAGGAAATGGAGTGGGAGAAATCCAAACTACCATAAGGACAAAACTGGTAGACAAGTGCTAAAAGATGAATGTTAGACTACACTATTAGCAACAAAGGTGGTGAACCTTTTAGAGCTGAGTGAGACCAGGGACAAGTTCAACTCTTTCACTGCTCAGTTGAGGACATTTCAGACCTGGATCGTTTGAGTGACTCAAAGGTAATTAGTGGCAAGTCAAGCTAGGAACATTCTCATTTTTCAGCCTAGAGTTCTTTCCACTAAATTATACTACAGCTATTTTAGGAAAAAATAGCTTGTGGGGTAAAAGTTTATACTAATAAATTTCCATTTGGAAATTCACTGCCTCTAAATTAGAACTTTACATAAATTATTCCAAATTCGGACACAGAATTATACCAGATTCTAAAGGCATCATAGTAAGCCCAATGATAATTCAAAATGTTAACATGTTCACTCATTAATCCTCAAACAGTATCTGTTTTCTTATACATGTGGCGTCTTGATTTTAATTAAATGTAGTTATAATTGCTATCTTCAATTGATGAAATGATCTTCATTAAACACATATCTTTGGTGCACCATTTATTACTAGAAGTGGTGAGCAATCACTTAGTACAATCATTTTTTTACAAGTGTCTTACAGAAGCTAAACTACTTGACTATTAAGTCCTAATTCATACAACTACAAGCCACTGGAACGAGACAAAAGATTGTGCAATCTGGAAAAATGCAGTCTCAATAACCCAGGAAAACTGAAGAGCTAACAGCTTTAGAAGCTTCCTAGTAAGTTGGGTAACTGTAAACTTTTCCCAACAAAATTTAACATGAGGAAAACATTAACTGCTGTTAATATATGTAGGTCAAAGCACTTTAATCAATTATCAAAATAATGAAAAAAATCTGAGTGCCATCAATCCATTTAATAGTTCACACATTAAATACAACTAAACTTTTTCCTTGTAACTGTCTGCACAAGGAAAAGAAATAGTTAAAATGGTGAGATCCCAAATAGATTAGACACTTTAAATAAATTCAACATATTTAGTTATGAAGATACCAACCAGCTGCCTGTGACTGCATATAACTTCCTACTCCAGCAAGGTTAATAACTGCAGTGTGCTGAGCAGATAAGGCCTGTTCTTGACTGGTACAACTTTGTTCAGAAGCCTGAATAAAAAAATAACACGTGACTTGTACAAAAATAAAAACAATTTTGGATTGGTGGAATTAGTATTTTACTCCTATATGAAAAAAAAATCAACATTAGTCTAGGTCTTGCAAAAAGAATGGCCTAAGGAAAAGACGTCAAAGGTATTTAGAATTAGCAAGAATAAGCTTATGGTATTTTGAAAGCAAGAAAATAAAACCTAATTTTCAGAACTGATTCTGTATTAAAAATAATTACTAAGGCTTCTATAAAACTTCATCAGAACTTTTTTTAAATTGAAGTATAGTTGATTTGCAGTATTGTTAGTTTCAGGTATAGAGCAAAGTAATTCAGTTGTATATATATATACACACACACATATTTTTCAATTATTTTCCCTTATAGGTTATTACAAGATATTGAAGGTAGTTCCCTGTGCTACATGTTAAATCCTTGTTGCTTGTCGATTTTCTGTATAGTAGTCTGTATCTGGTAATCCCATACTCCTAATTTAAGCGCCCCTGCAACATGGTAACCATACGTCTGTTTTCTATGTCTGTTGTCTGTGGGTCTGTTTCTGTTTGGTATATAGATTGGTTTGTATTATTTTTTAGATTCAACATATAAGTGATATCATATAACATTAGTCTTGCTCTTAGTTCACTTAGTTTGATATTCTCTAGGTCCATCCACATTGCTGTAAATGGCAATATTTCATTCTTTCTATGGCTAATATTCCACTGTATATATACACCACATCTTCTTAAGCCAATCATCTGTTGATGGCACTTGGGTTGTTCCCGTCTTGGCTATTATAAACAGTGCTGCTATGAACATGGGGGTGGCATGTATCTTTTCAAATAAGAGTTTTCATCTTTTCTGGATATATACCCAGGAATGGGAGTGCTGGATCATATGGCAGCTTGGGTTTTAGTTTTTAAAGGAACCTCCATACTGTTCTCCATAGTGGCTGCGCCAATTTACATTTCCACCAGCAGTGCAAGAGGATTCCCTTTTCATCTATTTAGGCCTGCCCATTTTTTGATAGGGCTGTTTGTTTTTTTCAATATTGCTTCTATAAAGCTTCATCAGAACAAGTTTTTAAAGCTTAAAACACTGTTTGCAACATAGTACTAGAACTTCTAGTGAGCACATTCAAGAAAAGGAAACAAAAAGGCGTACAGATTAAAAAGAAAAAATACCTGCCCTTATTTGCAAATGGCATTGATTATTTAGGAAAAAACACCCTAATGAATCTACAAAAAAACTTCTAGAACAAATAAGTGAGGTCAGTAAGATTGCAGAACACAAGATCAACATACAAAAACCAATTCTGTATACTAGCAATGAACATGCAGAAAACGAAATTAAAAACAATACCATTAACAATTTCCCAAGAATGGGAAAAAAAAGGAAGGAAGGGAGGGAGGGAGAAAGGGAGGAAGGAAGGGAAAGAAAGAGAAAGAAAGAAGGAAAGAAACTTAGGTGTAAATCTATGAAACATATAGGTTTTGTATGCTGAAAACTAGCTGATTTTAGCCTAGAGACACACTGTGTTCATGGACTAGAAAACTCACATAGTAAACATGCTAAGCCTTTCCCAAAATGACCTTTAGGTTTAACTCAATTCCTTTAAAAATCCCAGCAAAGTCTTCTGTAGATATAGATAAGATGATTCTAAAATTCATAAGGAAAGGCAAAGGATCTAGAACAGCTAAAGAATTTTGAAAAAGGATAACATGGGAAGAATCACTGTGTCTGATTTTAAGACTTACTATATGTATGTGTATGTGTGTATATATATGTGTGTGTGTGTATATATATACATAGTCTACAGTGATCACAACAGTATGGTACTAACAGAGTGACAGATATTAATACATAGATGGGTGAAACAGAGTAGAGAATACAGAAATAGAGCCACACAAACACAGCCAACTGATCTTTGACAAAGGTGCAAAAGTAATTCAGTTGAGGAGGATGGCTTTTCTAACAAATGGTGCTGGAGCAAATGGACATCCATATCCCCCCATAAAATGAACCTGGACCAAAGTCTCATACCTTTTATAAAAATCAACTGAAAATGGATCATAGAATTAAATGGAAACTATGAAAAAAAAACTTTGGGGCCTAGGGCTAGGTGAGGAGTTCTCAGACTTAATACCTAAAGCACAATTCATTAAAAAAAAAAAAAAAAAGATAACTCAGACTTCCATCAAAAGATGGAAGCAATCCAAATGTCCATTGATGGATAAATGGATAAACAAAATGTGATACATATATACAATGAAATACTGTTCAGCCTTAAAAAGGAATTTCTGACACATACTACAACATGGATGAACCTTTTGGGTATTATGCTAAATTAAACAGGTCAGTCACAAATAGACAAATACTGTATAATTTCACTTATATGAGGTGCCTGGAGTAGTCAAACTCACAGAAACAGAAAGTTGGCTAGAAGAGGGGGGAAATAAGGAGTTGTTTCATGGGTATAGAGTTTCACTTTTGCAAGATGAAAAAGTTCTGGAGATTGGCTGCACAACAATATGAATATACTTAATGCTACTAAACTGCATATTTAGAAATGGTTAAGATGGTAAATTTTATGTTACAGTATTTTACAATTTTGTAAAGAAAGTGCAAATCAAGAATTTTATATCCAGCCAAGTAATCCTTTATGTGTTAATAAAGAAAAATAGTTTTAAATGTGCCTTTCCTGAGAAATCTAATAGAGGATGAGCATTATCCAATCAAGATTTGACTGGGGAATCTTTGGTGGAAGGACTGATAGTGAACATTACATATATTTAATTATGAACTAAGAGAAACGATGAGGGTGGGACTCAGCAATCAGTAATTTTTAGTTTCCCAGATGATTCCGAAGTGCAGCAAAGGTTCAGAAAAATCTGAAGTTCCTTCTATTACTTTAATTTACTGTAGTTCTTGTTCAATTTCATTTTGTTTGGCAATGTACAAAGTATTTGTTTTTGTCTATCTTCGCTCTGTTTTATGCTTCAAGATAAAAAGAACATCTGTATTCTAATAGAGACAAAATATTATCAAAAGAAGGATGATGATGGGGTAGAAAATACATGGCCTATAGAGGCAGAAAGACTTGGACTTGAATCCCTGCTCTGCCACTCGATGTATGGTTGTGAGCAAGTTAGTCACCTGAATCTATTTCAGACTATGCAAGATGGAAGTGACATCATCTATTCAAGTATGGCGGTTGTGAGAATTAGAAATAGGCACCCAATAACTGATAGCTGCTACTGTTAATGAAGAAAAACCGCACATGAAAAGTTGGTTCAAACAATCTAAATAAAAACACTTGAAATATGCTTGGCATATACCAAAAAAGGTTATAATTCTATGATACAAAGCATATGGAAGGTAGAAAGGACATACCTGCTCCCCTGGCTGTTGAGGAACAGAAGTTGTGGGTTGCTGAGGTTGCTGTGGTGTAAACTGAGAAAGCTGCTGCTGCTGCTGCAGTGTGTTAAAAATGAGCGAGCCACCTGGAAGCTATTAAGTAAGCAAGAATTAATTAGCCGATTTCAGATTAAATTTCTTTATTCTACAAACACTTCTGGAGCATTCACTATGTGTCAGGCATTCTTCCAGGGACTGAGGAAACAGGTGAACAAAAATGGAAACAAAACAAGATTCCTGCCCTTAAAAAAAAGGAACAATCGCTTTAAACACAATTTTTAAATGCTGTTACTTTGGCTCTCAAATATGTTAGTAATCTCCAATGTAAGTCTTTCTGCTTCAAGTTAATAGTTAGCTATCCAAATACACACACTGCTTTTATTTAACTCCTTTTATACATCAACACAAAACAGCATTAAATGCATTTGGAAGTATAAACAAGAAGCTAGTGATAATCAGATATATATTAAGAAAACTTGTCTCCCTAAATTTGGTCTAGCTTTGCCCTAAACCAGAAATGCATGGATTTTTATATAACATAGCTAGGAATTCCAAAGCTGAAAAGAAAATGCATTAGATGTCTATATTTAGTTTGGAGACATTACTTGCTCTGTCATTCTGAATAAATTAAAAAAAAAACTTTTAAAAAAGCATCATCCAGAAAACTCCACACTAAAAACTAAAACTATGCATTCCAAATGCATCAGGAAACAAATGGTTTTTCCATTTTATTCTACAGGAGTCTAAGTTAAAAGCACTTTAAAGTTTTGTGGGAAAGTCCAAGCAAATATCAAATACAGAACTCTTAGGTCTTTATAGTCAGAAAAGGTGTCTTGGGTCAAAAGCTCTATACCCAGCATAGCTCACTGTTAGGTAAACCTGGACAAAGCACAGGTCAAATGTTCCTTCCTCAATTAGGTAGACAGTAATAAATGTTGCAAAATATAATTTATAAGGTGGCTTTGCCCTTAATCCTTATTATCAGTGCTATTAAGGAATCCCACTCCTCTTAACACTGAGACTGATCCTTGTAGAAATTCCTACAGCAAAATGCAGGAAAGTCGGCTAAATAAACCAATGTGTCCATAACACAATTAGATCATTCTGCAATTAGTCTGTAAATACTGACACTGTTTGCGTATTGTGACAGGAAATAAGTTTTAAGATTTAGTTCTAAATGTATTTCCTGATTTATTACTTCTGAATATCAGGTTGGGTTGATCTGTTTATTTCCCAATAATCCATAGCTCTGCCATTCTTTGTCTCCAAGTCTTTATATTTATGTCTACCTTTTCTAAAAATTCTCTGTAGATAATCCCATCCATTTTCCAACCTACTAGTTTAATACTGAACTCCATCCTTAAAGGACCTAGCATAACACTCAGAATATTATAAGTTCACAACATGTACTAAATTCTTTACCTACAATCTCTCTTTATATGTTAACATTGATAAAATGTGTTAAGAAAAGCCTCACTACTAGACACAAACTGTAATCTAACAAACATTTATTGACTGACTACTAGGTGCCTGGCACTGTGCCACGAAGTCACATTCTCCTCAGGAAAAGAACACACATACCTAATTTTAAAAATTTCTATTCACACAGAAAATCTACTATAAGCAAACAGCAATACCTACATGCATACATAAAAAGTCTGTTAAGACAGAAATTATTTCTAAGTATACCTGCTGCTACTATTGTAGGCAAGTTATTTTCCTGGGCAGTTGTCAACTCTCCCCTCTGGAACTAGTTCTTGACTTGGCAGTGGTGCCAGAGCCGATGAAAGTGCAGTACATAGGATACCAATTCTTTCCCCTTATCTACTTGAACATGCAAAGGTAACCACACCCTTAGAAGATTCTGGACAACCTCAAAACTTCAAATGCTGATATGTACAAACTTACATGGTTAAAAACAAACAAACAAAAACTATAAAAACTTTAATAAAAAGCAGTGTTTCAGGTTTACCTGGAGTAGGTTTAAGGGCCTGAGACTTGAAGTATTTTTTAAACCAAATGGAACACCTATTAAATAAAACTCATGGTTAAAACAGGGAATTACAACTTTATTATACTTGAAAGTATTTTATACTTTAGTATATAAAAATATAATACTTTAAGTACTTCCTGCACAGATGTGCTTATTTTCTATACTTTAAAAATTTCTTGTAAGCAAAAAACCCCCTATTTTCATCAATACCAAAGATGTGAGCACCAGATGTACACTATAATCTGTATTTCAGAAACTGAGACTTCTTTATAACTATTTTGACTGTTGGTTGGAAAAGTAATCTAGCAGTATGCAAACACCATAAATATAATAAAACTATCACTGTTGTGCAAATACATTTCAGGGACTGGCATCTATTTATATTCCTCAGTGCTAAACAGCATATGATAATAACCCTATCTCTGAGAAGCAGTGTGCCCTGTGCCATTTTTTAAAGTACAAATGCTAATATTAATAATGCTAAAGAACGCTGTTGAATTTTGTGTGTAAGGATCAAGCTGAAAGTCAGGAAACGATGCTCTGTTAATTCTGAACTTATTCCCCAAAATCTGTGACACAACATGGAGCACATCATGAAACAGGGGTTGGCAAACTCTTCCAGTAGGCTTTATGGGCCACACAGAGACTCTCATATACTCTTTCTCTTGTCTTTTTTTAAAAAAACAAACTTTAAAAAATGTAAAACTATTCTTAGCTTAGATGTGGGTTATAGTTTGCTGATCCCAGTTTCAAAGTATGTACTGTATATATTTTCCTCACTAAATATACCAATTCGAACACTAGTTAAAAATGTATATAGTCCTCTAAGCAGATAATTGTACCAAAAAAGATACAGAGCAAATAATGCACAGATGACAGTATGAAAGTCTTGTATAAGAAATGGAAAATGCATAATCAGATAAAAATGTGACAATACTGATATTCCCTCCAGGATTCTCATAAAAAAAAAAAGAAGACATAACTCCCTTTAAAGGTGGATGACATCTGTATAATGCTTTATAGCTTTCTAAAGGCACTTTCATATCACTTCATTTATTTCTCATAAGTACCAAATGAATTTAGAAATTTTCACTCCCATTTTAGAACAGATGAAACTCAGGCTAAGGTGGAAAAATTAAGTGACTGCTTTCAGACCCCACAGTTAGCATTTGGAGCCACAAGTAACTGGTAGAATTATATGTAAATATAAAATCCTAAATTCAACACTGATTCCATTTCCAGGGCTTCTGTCACTAGAGCATATTTAGACATATTAAAATAAGAATATGAGCTAGAATTAGAAAATCACAGCAATATATTAACATGTTTAAATTATATTCTTTGGGTTCTCTTTCTCTTAACTCATAGAAAGTTTCAGATAAGTTTTTCTTACTATGCTGAGTTTACTTTTCCTGTTACTTTTTTTCTCAGTAGTAAGAAATCGAACTGTTCTGAGACATAATACATTCTCTTAAAGAGCATTAAAAAATGGTGCAAGTCAGGACTTCCCAGGTGGCGCAGTGGTTAAGACTCCGCGCCTGGGTTCAATCCCTGGTCCGGGAACTAGATCCCACATGCATGCTTCAACTAAGAGTTTGCATGCCAGAACTAAGGGGCCCGCCTGCTGCAACTAAGACCTGATGCAACCAAATAATTAGTAAATTAAAAAAAAAAAGCACAAGTTGTTAAAACTCTTTTTCAGTATATGTAATTATAATTATTACTACTACTGCAAGAAAACTACTACTAATGATGATGACAGCAAATATTTTTGAATGTTTATCACATCTCAAGCATAGTTTAAGCATCTCATCTGTATTTATTCATTCAATCCTCACAACTCTGAGGTAAAGTATTATTATTATCCACATTTATGAAGAAAGTGAGGCACAAAGGTAACTCTGTCATGATTACACAGTTAGAGTAAGCTGCACAAGCAGGATTCACATCAGGCAGTCTGGCTCCAGAACTGAGGCTTTTAAATGCCATGCTGTGTTGCTTTTCTTGCTCATATATGTTTTCAAAATACATTTCTTTTACCTGGGACAGGACTACACTGACAATTATAAAAGTTACTTTTATAATAATCTTTGGAAGGTAAAGATAAAATTTGCAGAGACTTACAGGCTTACCAAGTTTCCTCACAGAGAAGTTCATAGCTAGATGGGTTTTTAATTCAAATACCAGAACTCTTAAAGCTTTTGAAAGGAAATATTTCCGACATAATACTTCATAAAATAAGGATGTTAAATAATATCATTAAAATGGCATTTTTACATAAGCATGGACTTTAATTTTATTAGACGTTATTATTTCTAATATTCTGACCTGCTTGAGAAGCTGCCTGCATTGCACTGGGCAATGCATTTGGTAGCAGACCTCCTGAGGGTAGAAGGCCACTCAAGTTTATTCCTGCAGGAGTTATGGCACCAGTGTTACAGCCCAGCATAGGGTTTGAACCACTCATCAAAGCTTGAGCTCCACTGCAGGAGAATAAGACAGAGCATTAAACTAGCACTATAAAAGGGAAAATCAGCCACATAATTCCTTGGATTAAAAAACAAACCACTAAACACACACAGATATTTGTCTTAAATGTCAATTTGGAGGCTTAGTTTCATTTTTTTGCTAGAAAGTGACAGCAAGGTTGGCAAAAATTAAGTACTGTATATTTACCAATTAAGTACTATATATTTATCAAGTACTGTATATTTACTGAATATTTATCAAGTACTATATATTTAAAATATAATTTGGAAGAGTAATGTCCTAATCAATGGATTAAAAGATGGTAAAACAGAGGATAAACAGGAAAATCTAAGCCACTGTCAATGTGTAGTAGTATCATTAGTGCATGTAATAGATTGATCACCTAAAATTAAAGCATACTTGTTGAGATAGCTTCTATCCGCATAGAAACTATTTTCTTTCAATTTCAATAATATGCAATTTGTTCTTAATTTCACAAATAAGAATTTCTTTAGATTGCTTACAGTATCTTAAAAAAAAAATCAGGGCATCAATGCAAACTTACCAAACAGAGCCCACTACATTGATGAAGTTAAGTCCAGCAGAGTTTGCCATGACTTGGGTGGCCGTGGTTCCTGTAGTTATAGATGTTACCATGGTGGAAAGAGGAATGGTCGTTACAGGCATTGCCTGGCTCAGAGACCTTTGCTGCTGAGCAAACTGAGTTAACAAAGTGGGCTGAGGGGTGAAGCCTGAATCTTGGGGAGTAGGGGTAGCTGAAGGGGTAATAGGAGTTGAGCTCTGAGCATCAGGAGGGTGTGGGGTCGATGAAGGGGTTGGTGTAGGAGTAGATGGCTTAGGAGTTCCAGATCCTGCTCATTGAGAAAAATAAAAATTGCTAGTTTGTTATAAATGGCCAGTCCTTTTTAAAATAAGGTTAATGGAATCTTATTTAGCACTGACAATTTGTTCCAGTTTTTTTTAAAGCAGTTAACTGCAAGTGTTAATTTCTACACATGATACATGAGTGTTGCTACACTCAATTACAATTAAGGATGCAGTATATCACCTACAAATCCCATCAGAGATGCTATTACAGTAACAGTAAAAATATACGTTTGTATTCTACCACAATACCCATTTAAAAGTTAGTTTCCTACATGCTACCTTTGGCCTATAAAGTTTAAAAGGACTTCAAATTAATTTTTGTTATTTACGATTTCACTAATTTAGGACTTCACTTAGAAATATTGCTTATTTTCTGTTAACAGTCTGAGATAAACTCTGAACATATTTAATAAATTACATATGATTTACAATCATATTTGGCACCTAGATATACATATTTAATTCCTAACACATCAAGTTTATCCTCACAAATTTTACAAAACACAGTAATGAAGCAAATATTTGAGAGATAATACTGCATCTTTAACAGTAACTGTGTACTTCTGTTTAAATGTAGAATGTATAGAAAATCTGTTGTGAATGAAGTATGCACAGTTTATCAACTTTTTTTAAAAAAACAAAAACAAAAAACAAAAACCAAAAAAATAAAACCAAAAGCTCTTGAGGTGTTTTCTTTTTTAGCTTTCATGTCCTGCAGAAAGAAAGGAAAGAAATGTGAATGTCCAGAAGCTGTCACTCAACCCTTACTTAAAGTAACAACTGTGTGCAGTAGATTAACATAATCCATACCCACAACATAAGAAGTGTGAATAAGACTTTCAGGAAATTTATAAATTTTTCTTTGTGCAAAACAAGAAGGCAGAAAAATTACACCTTTTGAGCTATCAAGATGAAGATGTTTACATCTAATGCAAAGACCACCCTGTCACTGTGCAGTGTACTAAAACTTTCAGCACACATTAGTTATTTATTAAAAAATCTAAAAAACTGGAATGCTTTTTTGCAAGTTGGTACCTAAATATCTCAGATATTTACTAATTTGAAGCAATTCTCCCAAACTAACGCTAGAATTCTTGAATAACTCTTCTTGATGTTAAAAAAAAAAAAAAGTATTCAGTAGTAAAAATTACATTTTAATATCTTCAGATGCTTTATGATCATCCCACATTTTACTAACTGATAACAATTTGTAAGAGTGTAAGAGTGTTATTGAAAAATCGGCTTTCAGTTTACTGTATCACCACCTTGGAACTAGTTGGCTTCTTACATTTACAAAGATAAGACTGCAGCAACAACTCTTATGACTTTTTTTCCATATCAGCTGCATAGTTTACATAAAATGTAAAATGCCCAAGGGTACACTGGAATAAAAAATAATTTGGACTTATTGCCACATTTAACTACCACATTATTTTTTTCAGGAGATGTGTAGGTTACAAGTCTATAAGAAAGGTATACACGAGGTGCATACATAAATACAGAAAAACAAATACAATTACAATAAACATGTAATACATACAGTCAACAAGAGATTGGCATGAAGCTTCTCAAAAAATTACATTTTGGGTAGACAGTACATTCAGATTTCACTATTTCACTGGTCAAAAAGAGCCATCTTAAGAAACACTAATGCAAAAGCTTACGAAGAGTTAATGAAGAATTTAAGTTATGACTCACTTTGTGATGAACTGGCAGGTGACAGGGCAGCTGGAGAAAGCATGCTAACTTGATTGAGATCCATGGATGACTTCCGAGAAAGACTTGGTGGCTTAGAAGCAGGAGGAGGAGTTGGAGATTTAAGAAAGCTGCTGACCTGCTGTGGTGTAAAATAGTTACCTAGAAGAAAAATATACACGCTGTTTCCTAGATTTACAATTTAAAATTCTGAGTAAATCAAAATATGAGTAAATGGATTACAATCATCTGTTGTTTCTTACTCTAGATTACAAAAAACTAAGGAATGTAATACCTGAGGAACTATTTCCTGAGCTTGAGGGAAGTTTGATGGGTGGAGGTCGATGTTTTACTCCCTTCCCCAATACTGAAGACTGAACTGACAGGGTCTCCGGCTGCTAAGACAGTGACATTAAGCATACTCATTAAAATTAAGGTCAAATCAGAAATTCACAAATTAGTAACACTATTATAACTCCTGGATGAAAACACGGTTTAAAAAACTGCAATGTACGTTTAATGTTTATAGATTGGGTATTAGAGGTGTTTCAAAAAAATGTAATTCCACATAAGGAGATCCATGAGATAACTTACAGTATACACAGGATGAAGGAAAGATTTCTGAGTAATAAGGTAGGGAGAAAGTTTGAGGGAGAAGAGCAGAGTAAGATGACAGCAAAGCTTCACCCTTAAATCGTCTCCAGAAAAATAGTAACTGTTGACGCCAGGTGGGTGATCAGTATACACAGATGTTCATCACACTTTTTGCTCTACCTCTGTGTACATTTGAAAGTTTCCATCATAAAAAGTTAAGTAATAAAAAGAAAATCAAAAGTAAAAACAAAACTAAACAATACCTCTATCCCTCATAAAACAGTCCTTAACATTTCTCAGATTCCTTGAGAACAATTAGGCAGAAAAAAGTAACAGCACAAAAAAAGCTAAGCAAACACACTTCTGTTTCCTTCCCTGGAGAAGGCTGACTCAAGCTCGCTGAGCCACTGGAGCTATGCGACATCTTCACTGGACACTTGGCTTCGTTCTGGACCAGTTCCTGGTACTGACTGACTACTCTGAAATATTAGGGAGAAAACAGGTAATGATTAGCTAACTATTTTAAACATAAATTTACTACATAGGAAATGAATAGTAACTGTTAATGAAACAAGTTCTATCAAAAATAACACAAAAATTAAAATTAGACAATTTATCTTCGATAAAAGCACATTCTTCTAATATTTTCAATGACAAGCTAATGCTGAAAACATTTTGCTAATTAACAATCTAAAGATACTTGCGGTATCTTGTCTCCAATACAGAAATACAGGGATTATTTCACCAATAAGTAGCCAAAAGAACTACCCATTGACTCTTACTTATATTCTGATTAAACTGTTACCTAGAAATCATTTTCCTTAGCTACTGTAGATATATCTAAGTTCTCTTATTTAAAATAAAGCTACATTTTAAACATTATCCTTTTAGTTGTTATTTTCCTAATTCTATTTAAAAATCCTAGTAATACCTAGGCATAATTAAAATCAAAGCTTTGACTTCGAATGGAGTAGTCTCTACCCTACAAGAATCCATCCAGATCACAAATAAAGATGCAAATATTTTTACCTCTCAGCATCAGTCTTTGATCCAATAATGAACCTAAATTGTTTTTTAAAAAAGAAAAGTATTAGATAGACTTGTTTTAAGGAGCCCTGAGATTACTTTTGAAGACTTCCATATTTTAATGACAGTAATTTTATAAACTGAATTAAAATCTACCAAGATATCATGAAAACACAAATTTTAAAATACATTAAAAAATAGGAAGCAATGACCAAGTTCTGCATGCATTACAAAATAATTCTGTGAATAAGTTGGCTGACTTAATTTAAAGGAGATTTACTTTGGCAGAAAACCTATGTTTCAAAACAAAATCTGGGCTGAAAGTTACCATGTGCTATACACCCTCACAAGTGTCTGTCCTACAGCAATATTCACTGAACTACCATGTACAAGGCCTTTGGCCTTCCTCTCACTTTAAACTTTGATTTTGGAAGACTAATGTCTATATAGCAGGCCCTTAGAATATATTTTAGACAAGGAAGATGGTTTATCGCCAATTTAAATAAAAAGCCTTTATCAAGTCTTAAAAGAGTTTGACATTTATATGATTTCTTAACGTATTAAAATAGTGAATTTGTTTATTTTTTAATTACCAATTTGAATGATCATCTGTGGAGAAGCTGAAATATAAAATATAAAAAAAAAAGAAAAAACTTGGTTAATGCAGCTCAAACTTTGACTTCATAGCTATTAAATCAAGTAATTTATGAATATGGGAGAAGGACTAGAAGGTAATAAACCATGCAGCATTTCTGCAGCAACGTCCTGATGTAAAAGGCAAAAAATTCAATTCTCTTCTTGTCAAACAAATCTAATCAGTTGGCCTTTTGAACAATTTTTTTTTAAATGAGAGAACATATGCCCTTGTGTTTGAGAAAAGTTAGTAACTATTTAAAATGACCAACGTGTATCTTTAAAGGGAAGACTGCAAAATACAGCTAATCGAAATATCTGATTTTTCTACTTAGCATACAAAAATAAAAACTGCTAATGTGAAAAAATAAGCTGAGGATTGATTCCCTGACTGCTGTTTCCTCCCATTGACTTTTACTTAGGTATTGGTGAGGTTACTCTTTAAAATCCATTTTTCTGCCATAGTTTCAATTAGTATTTTGTAAGGATTTAACATAGAGCTGGCCCCTACTTTTTTCTGCTGAGGTTCTCTTTATTTTTCCTTCTTTTCAAAACAGCATCGACTTGATTAAAAAGCAGAACTAATAATAAAACTAACAAGGAAAACAAAACTAAATACTGGTACCTTGTAGTAAATACATGTAACCCGTAAGTTTAGGAATATCAACTTCAGTTGGCCCTCTATATTTACAGATTCTGCATCCCCAGATTCAACCACCATGGAATGAAAATACTTGGGGGGAAAATATTCCAGAAAAGTCCCAAAAAGCAAAACTTGAATTTGCCACGGGCTGGCAACTAAACTATTTACGTAACATTTAAATTGTATTTATTACTTACTTACATAGCATTTACACTGTATTAGGTATTGTAAGTAACCCAGATAAAAGTACAAGGGAGGGATGTACAGAGGTTGAAAATACTACACCATTTTGATATGAGACTTGGGCATCTGCAGATTTTGGTATCCAAGGGGGTCCTGGAACCAATCCCCTGTGGATACCAAGGGACAACTATATATGTATTTCTAGAGCCAGTAACTACATTAAGCACTGAGTCTGTGTCCTTACAGGCAGTGCTGAAATATCAAGCATTTTTAACAGCTTTTACATTTAATTTACAGTGAACTTGCTTCCCATTTAAACAAATTATTGCCCAGAAGCACTTCATGCTCACAGAGAGGTAAAAGTCATAAGTGGCAACACATAAATATACCAAGAGGGATATGACGGGCATATCTTTCAAAGCAAATATAAGAAGAATTTACAGCACAGGTTTTTTTGGTTTTGTTTTTTAAAGAAATTATTATTTTGAAGAACTCCTGGACAGCAAGGTAACTCCAATTTAAGTTTACTTAGGTCTGCTGCCAAATCTAACTGGAGTATTTAACTAACAAAACAGGGAAACTTTTATTCATTAATAGTTCATCAGTAGTTGCTACATACATTCTGATGGCTTATTTTGTCAACTGCCTGTATTTAACAGAACTCACTGGGATGGAGACATCTGACTGTCACTCTCTTCGTCTTCTTTACATGGCTGTATTTTACCATAGTAAAGTGGATCACCAAGTGACTGCAAAATGGTCAGCTTTGTTTTCTGATATGGATTACCAGCTTCACATTCAAATATATAGTCATCTTTTACATCCTGAAAAAGACCGAGCATCCCAAATAAATACCTTCTCCAGTAAATACATAGTCAGAATTAACACAAATCAGAAGTAAATGACACACTAACTTACATCTTGCAATAAAAAGACACATGGGACATAGTCCTTAGACCTATTTAAGAGAAAAAAGCCTAAGGGAAAGAAGCTCAGGATTCTTTTTTCAACATGGTACTCTGGGAACAAGAGTTTCAACGGGATATTTAGTTAACAAAGCCCTAGTGAAATGTCAGAATTTCATATACTGAACATATGAATGCAAATATTAAATACTAAAAGGATAAAACTTTCAAAAGCAAACCTGTTTCCATTTGTCATTAGTCTTTTTGCTATTGCACATACCAAGTATCTCTCATGGGACTTCCCTGGTGGTCCTGTGGTAAAGAATCCGCCTTCCAATGCAGGGAATGCGGGTTTGATCCCTGGTTGGGGAACTAAGATCCTACATGTCACGGGGCAACTAAGCCTGCACGCCACAACTACTGAGCCTGCATGCTGCAAACTACAGAGCCCACGCGCTCTAACTACAGAACCCACGCACCATAACTAGAGCGAGAAAACCCACATGCCGCAACTAGAGAGAAGCCCGTGTGCTGCAACGAGAGATCCTTCACGCCACAACAAAGATCCCGCGTGTTGCCAACTAAGACCCGACACAGCCATAAAGAAATTAAAAAAAAAAACAACTCTCATTTCACTCCTAGATTCATAATTAATTATGCCTATTAATTATGCCACATAAATATGCCTTTAAGAAGTCACTGCAATTAGAGAAACATACACAAAACATTTCTCTTTAAAAATATCCTTAGAATAACTTATTAATTATTAATTTGAAACAGAAAACAAATCACAACTACCAACAGGGGACCAAAACAAAAGTAAAAATGCAGTTATGCATTAAAATCGTCCTTAGAATGGAAACCGCATTTTATGAAAAACAAAACTAAATTGTTGTTCCTTTTTTTAATTCACTGAACTCCCAGAAAGTTCTTAAAAAAACAAACAAAAGAAGATACCAAAATAAAGGCTACTGTACTTTATATGTCTAATAAATTCAGATCCCAGATTAGAAACAGCATCATTAGAAATGGAGACTGCAATGGTTACTTACATGGGCTGGCCAGATTGTTGGTTGTGAGTCATCAGATTTGATAGATTTTTCCACTTTGGCATATTTTTCCACCTAAGCAATCAAATCAAGAGACATCAGATATAATGAAATCAGTATTATGACCAAAGAGAAAAACCTAAATAACTTAATACAATACACTGAAACGGGGCAGGACCCTTCCCCAACCCAACCCCCGCCCCATCCCCCTGCTTTTGTCTGTGGAAAAACTTTAGCCAAAGAATAAGTTTAATCAGAGAAGTGAGAAAATGCAGAAACAAAGGAAAACCGTTAAGAAGACCAAATAATAATAGTTTAGTAATGGAGCAAAGTCAAGGCCCTTTAGTTTCTCCTCAAGGGCTATAGATAATACTCTGAGCCCTATCCTGTGAGCTGTCTTGTAGATACTGTAACCCCACCAGGTGGAAGGAGTCAACTACATGATGACCAGGCTGTAGCCATGCCATAAGCTGCCACGATTCCGAGAACTAGCCTCAAAGAAATGGGAACAAACTGACCCTAGAAGTGAAGATTAACCGTCCCTAAAACAATCGAGATGCTGGTCAGACCACTGATGACCAATTTCAAGACGACTGTCAGAGCTGACTGTACTGTTTCTGCATGTAGCCCCCTCCCTCCGTGTATAGAAGCTCTTGCTCCCTGATTGTCAGGAGCGGTAGTCGGCCTTTGGAGAGGCGTCTGCTCTCCCCCACAGCTGCTGGCATCTAAAATAAAGCAAACTTAACTTTCCACCAAACTGGCCTCTTTACTGTCTTTTAAGTGGTGAGCAGCCAGACCCCACTTTCAGTTACTATACTTTTTAGCACAAAAATTCTTGAATCGCTAATAACACCAACTACTTATGCTTAAGTAGTTTAAAATTCTCCTGATATATATTCAATTAGACCAACTGGTTTTATAAATAAAACGAAATTAGAATCTCTTTTGCCATTAAATAAATGTAATAAACACAGCTGCTATTTTGGACAGTGCCTCTTCTTTATGCTCCGTAAGGTGATATTATATTTGACTTTTAGGAAAACTGGGATGTCAGCGAGGTGATTAGGACCAGGATCTGGATCATTTCCTTTGGCTGGGTCTCTAATGGAACAGGAATTGTCATGTAACAGTGTGGACAAAACTAGGAAGAGACTAGGGAAGTTACATTAGAATTGGTAAAAATTTTTGTAAATCTTTCCCATTTTCTAGTCAGACTTGAACCATATATTCCATGTATCTCCTACCAGTCTGTGTGAACCAAAAGTTCTCATCTTCCTGGTAACCATGATTCTAAGAGTAACAGATTCACTTGGGCATCTGGTAAAAATTCAGATTCCCATATCCCTCCCCTGGAGACCTGATTCAGTAAGCAGGTCTGAAATGAGGGTTTAAGTGTGTATGTTTAACTGGTATCCTAGATGCTTCAACTGATCGAGTTAGGCTAAGACACTTTTTATTAGGGCTTTGCTACTCAAGGCGTGGTCTGTGGACTCCAGTGCCACCAACCTAGGAGCTTTTCAGTATTGCAGGATCTCAGGTCCTAGCCCAGACTTGTTGAACTGGAACCTGCATTTTAACAAGCAACCCATGTGATTCTTACGTACGTTAAGGTTTCGGAAGCCCTGCTTTAGATATCCAGACTGCCCTCCGAAGCTAAATCCCACACTTTGGTATTTACACTAAATATCTCTTCTCAGGCCACGTTCCTTGAGGGGCGCATAAGTTACTGAAAGATAATGTGGCTTACTCTCTTGAGCTGTATATACAGTGTACTCCTGATGCTTCTGACAATTTTTTAAAAATCAAAGGTAATAAGAATTATACATGTGCTAGCCTGGGAAGGATGCACAGAGCAAACATCTGCTAAAATAACTGACCAATTCTAAAGAATTGAGTGAATAATAAAAATAGGAGAAATGGGGAAACAAAAGAAATATGGACCCTCCCATCAAAATTATCTTTCCTGTCTTTGCTCATTTATAGTTCATGTGTTTCATGGGCCAGCAAAGAATACCACCCAAGGTTCCTAATCTTGGCTACTGCTCCAATATTATTAATTTTTAAATTTAGCCAGCGAGAAAAGCATTATCAGGAAATTATGATGAAATATTATGAAAAAAATCAGTCATTTTATGCATATTATGTAATACGTACATCTTTTTACACATTTTGAAATACTTTGGTTATTATTCCTGCTCTAAACATAGACCTATATTAAGGAGTTACATTTTTAGACAAGTTAATGTGAAAATAGAATAGCTTCTGAAAATGAGCAGCTGACTTAAGAAGAGTCTTAGCACAAACAGAGAGAATGAACTAGTGGTTACCAGTGGGGAAAAGGAAGGGGGGAGGGGCAATATAGGGGTAATGGGGAAAAAAAGGGTTATTATGGGATTATATAAAATCACATGTGTGAAACTTCTGAAAACTGTAAAGCACTACAGAATTTAAAGAATCTTTCATTCAATAAAATAAAAAAAGAAGTAGTAAGAGTCTTTGTTTTCCCAAAGTTTAAACTACTATTAGTCAAACTTAGGAACCTTACATGAAAGGACGTGTAATTCATGCACTGACTTACATCCACTTCAGAAGGTATGGCCAAATTACAGGGACTCCGTTTCCACATATCCACACACTAAAAAATTAAAAAGAGTATAAATAAATACACTGAACACTGAAAATAAGGCAAGGCATTTGGTATGATAATAAGCTTCATTTAAAAATATATACTTACGTTTCCTGCTTTAGAAATTTTGAGGTCATAATGCTGACCTGCTTTTCTTTCCTTTCTTTTTTGTAAGAAATCAAGTAATTTTAGCTGAGGAGGAGGTGGACAATGAGACAGATCCTGCTGCCGATTCAGAGAGGACCTGGAATATCTCTTGAAACACCTGAAATATTAAGAGATTAGAAATACACAAAGCTAATACAAGAAACTCAGAAAAAACATGGTTTAAATTAGTAGGTGTTAAATGTGTAATTAAATCACAAATATCTGTAGAACACTGTCACTTGCCAAGGAATGTTCTAGGCACTGGTGAAATAAAAATGGACGAGACTAACAAAATTCCTGCTACCACGTAGCTGACAGTCCAGAAGTGAAGACACACATATACAAGTAAACAGGTCAGATCATTCCAGATAACAATAAGCAGTAGGAGAAAAACCAGGGTACTGTGGTGAATACGTGATAGAGAGGGCAACATTAGGGAGGGGAAGGACTCTGAAGAAATGATGCGTGAGCTGAGACATGACAAGAAGGAACAAGCTGTGGAAAGATCAGGGAAGGAACAGTTGAAGCAGAGAGAGAGAATTTTAAAAGGTGCTGAGGCAGGAACAAAGTTGGCTTATTTTTAAAACAGAAAAATGAAGGGAGGACTAGAGCATCAGGGTCCACACAATGGGAGATGAGGTCAAAGAGCAAGGCAGGGGCCTTGCAGATGAATGATAATGCGTTTAGACTGAATGTGAAGTACAGTGGGATGGTTTTCAAGGAATTTAAGCAAGTGGTGGCATGGTCGGCTTTGAGGTTCTCAAAACATTACTGTGGTTTGCTTATATGGCGAACAGACCAGAAGCAAGCGAAGGTGAAGTAGGAAGACCAGTTAGGAAGGATTTTATTGCAGAAGTCAAGATGAAGATGATGGTGGCCTGGCTTAAGGCACTGGCAGTGGGCGTGGAGAGATGTGGACAGAGATACTAGGAGACTTTATAGGACTGCTAATGGATACTATATGGACTTATTTCACTATTTCCAAAGCTGCACCTTTTCCCCAGAATATATTATTTCCGTAGTAAAGCAGGGAATTAAGAAAATGGGTAGGTTATTTCAGCCCCTTCAAACTTGAAGAAGATCCAAAGTGGGCAACTCAAACAATTATGCAAAGATAACTTAATGATGAGCCTACTATAACTGCAGACCAAATTAATATGCATTCTTAACTGCAGTCTGAATTAATATGCATTCTTTTACTTCATTAACTAGAAGAGATAGCTAAAACATTCTAAGACAAATTAACATGTTATAAAAAGGCATTTAGTTAGAAACTGACTTCTCAAACTGTGATCATTTTCCCAGATCTCTAAAAGAAATTATAAATTGTATCTTTAAAGGTAATATTAACAAAAATTAAACTGGTATTAGAAAGTGATAAGTTATTCTTTCTGCTCATACCTGTCTCTTCTCAGAATTTCTATCTTTTTGGTGAACAAACTCTGAATTTATAGGTAGTTTGTTCTTCAAAAGAATGCAGAAAATGCATCACTTCAATATAAAGCAGAGTACATATTAAAAAAATTCTAATTCTTACACAATAAAAGTATTAAAAGACAATTAAAAATCCAATTTTAAAAAATCAGGGACCTCCCTGGTGGCACAGTGATTAAGACTCCACACTCCCAATGCAGGGGGCCCGGGTATGATCCCTGGTCAGGAAACTAGATCCCACATGCATCCTGCAACCAAGAGTTCGCATGCCACAACTAAGGAGCCCACGTGCTGCAACTAAGCAGCTGGTGAGCCGCAACCAAGGAGCCGGTGAGTCACAACTAAGACCCAGCACAACCAAATAAATAAACAAATAAATATTAAAAAAAAAAAATCAGAGCACATTTATTCTTTAAAGGGAAAAGATACTATAAATGGCAAAATTTAGAGCTACCGCTCTAGTTCTCTTTTGGTTTATCCTTCCACAAAGGTAATTACCGTTTCATTGGGCGCGTGTTCATCTTTTGCTTGTTATAGAGCAGCCTGTTTGCAGTGCAGGTTACAGCTATAGAAGGATCAAGACACAGTGGTTCAGCTGTAGCTAGAATCAGTTGGCTCTCAAGCAGAAGTTTGTCTTCCTGAAATATGTAAGAGCATACATCAATACCAGATTTAAGATTTTCAAATCATACATATCACTTAATCTAGAGATATTCCTTGGAATATTTCTGCTAAGGAGTACAGTAAAATACAGTATTTCAAGTTCCAAACTAAATGTGTAAACTTTAGAAACTTGACAGCATAATGAAACTACTAATGGAAATTCAGTAATTGGTACAAAGTGGTCAAATTATAAGACTGCCTATCCATTAGCCCAACAAATATTTACTAAGCACCTACAATGTGTAAGACACTGTTCTAGACCGGGGGCGGGGGGGGTGGATAAATCATGAAGAAAACAGATAAAATCCTCTGTCCCCACAAAGCTTACAGGACCAAGATAGATGACAGCACTTTCACTAATTGAGATAACAGTCCCATTCTATACTCAGCTTAACTTCATTACAAGAATAAAAATGACTCCACTAATACTGTATAAACTATATACACCAATTCCAAAGTTTATACAGGCTTTTTACCAGTATCATTTAACTTACTTTACTGAATCCTATTTTTCTTTTTTTTTTTGCTTAAACTCTGAAATATTTTAATGGCTATTAACTCAATTTTTTAAAAGTCAAATGAATCAATTAATTACTGCTGAATAAAAATTTTTTCAAAAAAGAAACATTGCGGGCTTCCCTCGTGGTGCAGTGGTTGAGAGTCCGCCTGCTGATGCAGGGGACACGGGTTCGTGCCCCGGTCCGGGAAGATCCCACATGCCGCGGAGCGGCTGGGCCCGTGAGCCTGTGCATCCAGAGCCTGTGCTCCACAATGGGAGAGGCCACAACAGGGAGAGGGCCGCGTACCGCAAAAAAGAAAAAAGAAAAAAAAAAGAAAAAAGAAACACTGCTTCTTTCACTAGGTCTATTCAACTTATTATGGAAATTTTCAAAAATACACAAAACAGAAATATAATGACACCCACGTACCAACACCCTATTTTATTTAACAACCGCCCCTCTTTTTTTTTGTTTTTCTTTGTTTTCCTGGAGTAATTTTAAATACATTTTCGATGTTGTATTATTTCATCTGAAAAATCCTTCAGGACACACTGGTAACTGCTAAGGACCTCTAATATCCAGTCTAGATAAATTCCCATTATCTCAAAAGTGTATTCTTAGTTGGTTTGTTTGAATTTGAACTCAAACAAGGCCTACACGTTGTATTCGGTTTTTATCTCTCAAACATTTAAAAAAAAAAATTCTGTAACGATCACCTCTTCCCCCATCTTTTTTTCTTTTCTCATGAAACTGATTTGTTGGGATTTGAGCAACTGCTTCCTCAGCGTATCATTTATTAACTGGGTCTGGCTGGTTGCTTCCTCATCCATGTCATTTAATGGTTTCTCTTACTCCATAAATTACTTTTAAACTGTTGGTTAGATGTAGAGGCTTGATTTAAATTAAGGTTCTATTTTTTAAACAAGAGCTCTTCAACAGTACTACCGTATACTTTCTCGTCCGCCACGCAAGGAGGAACACAAGGATTGACTATCCCACTTTTACACCAGACAGTTTAGACAGACTATAGGTTTTTCATATCTAAGAAATACAGCCATCTAGATTCATTAAGACTTCCAAGTTGATAACATTTTAAAAAGTTTATCATTTCTTTTACACTTGTTAGCTGAAATTTTTCTAAGGAATTTTCCTTGAAAAGGCAGAATAAAGGCTTTGGTCTCTCCCATTATTTACCAATCTTCAGAGTAAGAAATCAATGCCCTAAGAACCTCCAATGATGACCAGTGAGTTTGTTTTTGAATATTCTTTTAATAGCTTTTAACCTTCTTGTAAACAAAAAGATTACAGCCCAAACTACAATACAACACTTGATAGTTACTGATGAACTGAATCTTAACTTATAATCATATTTCACAGCTAGAATAATTCTCATTATTGATATTTTCTTTACTTTAACTATACCTCTTTATAGTAACAGAGAAATAAGTGAACACTCTTGTGAGTGGGCACCTCACATATACTGAGCCAGCACTGGAGGACTAACTGGCTATTCTCCGGATAAGAGCCGTCTCCAGGTAAGAGACGTCCCCTAGGGCTACAACCAGTATGGATGGCAAAAAGACAAGACGAGCTAGGTCTGCTTTAGAATCCTAGATGACAGAATATCAGCATCTATTTGTATCCACAACAAAACATTCTGTTTGAGAGGGGATACAAAACTATGTTTCAATTGGGTGAGGTCAGCCTCACCCTATTATACTATGCCCTAAAAGCAACTGGGACTGAACTGTTAGTTCCTTGAAGGATTACTGCATCTTTGTAGAGACCCTTAACTTCTAAAGCTCATAAATCAATCCCAAACTTTACTCATAAATAGAATTATGAGCAGAAAATATCTTTTGCTTAACTTAGTAAATATTGTTTCATCCTATATATTACTGTTTGGGATTAAAAAACAGAACTAACCTGGGTCCATTTATGGTTATCACTTGTTATTGAATGTACATCACAGATTAAAGTCTAGAAGAAATAAAAGTTAAAAAAACAGATTAATGTATAGGCATACAAACATATGAAGACATTTAATAAGTAAAACTCCAAATAAAATCTGAAATACTTCTTTTTATTTATTTATTTATTTTAACATCTTTATTGGGGTATAATTGCTTTACAATGGTGTGTTAGTTTCTGCTTTATAATGAAATAATACTTCTTAATTAAACATTCCTTACCTGCATTGTTGGACGTAAGAGAATGTGCCTACTTTGGTAACCAGGAGATTTCATGTTACTGGACTGCCTGTAGTCACGTATTTCTGCTATGACACATCCACAGTGAAAAATATTAACCTGTTTTGAGTGAAAATATATAAGTAGATGTCATTTTTCAGAAGCCTAAATAAGTGGGTTTATATTGAATGTTTCAGGTTCTTTACATTCTTATGTAATGTTTCTGACCACTCACGCACTCTTAAATGGAATTCCTTGGTGGATTTACCACCATATAAACCCTTTAAAAGCAACTGTTTATGTTCATCATGACTCAAGAAGCAGTTTAACACTGTTTAACTGTTTGCTAGTAATAGAATGACATCTGGCATTTGTACACTGTTAATGTTACAGATAACTGGTATCGCTGTTCTTTTTTTTTTGGCCGTGCCATGAGGCTTGCGGGATCTTCGTTCCCTGACCAGAGATCGAACCTGCGTCCCCTGCACTGGGAGTATGGAGTCTCAACCACTGGACCGCCAGGACGGGAAGTCCCTGCTTTTCTTCTTGACACTCACTGGCTCACTGTTGTACTCTGCTAACCCTGTCATTATTATAAATTGTCAATAACCATGCCAGAGTTTCAGCTTATAGATACAACTGCTATATTTGCTCTGCTAAAATTTCCAAAAGATAGGCTTTACTAATAAGAGGAAGAAAGCTAACGTTAATTCAAATAATAATCTCTGTTAAAGATACTGTTTTTTAATCCTTTTTCTAAGTCCAAAGGTAAGAATCTGTCACTCAAGTCTTGCTAATTATCACTTGCCACAGTCGCTTATGGTATTGTGTGTTTTCACCATTCAGAACTTTTAGTGGGTACTGTGACCTCCATGTTGTCAGTCATTATTATGCTCATGCTTTTTAACCAACATTTATTGAGCCACTACAATGTGAACTGTGTGTCATTTTTATCAAGAAGGTTCATAGATAAAGTGGTGAGATACTTGCTCAGTGTGGTAAGACAGGCAATAAACATGTAAACAAATACACAAGGTAACTTGAGACAGTGAAAGCTACAGAGGAAATAAAATAGGGAGGGGCTTAATTTAGACTGTGTGCTCAGACAGAACTCTCGGAGGGAGTAATTTTCTGCTGAGACCTGAATCACAATAAAGGGCCAGACATCTGGGACAGATGAGAAGAGCAGAGGGAAGAGCAGATGAATAAGACAGGTATAAGCTCGGTGTGTTTTAATATGGAAAGAAGTCCCGGACGGCTGGAGTGTAGTGAGTGGGGATGAGAACCAGGAGGTGAAGACAAACAGAAAGGCAGGGGTTTTGTACACTGAGGGGACACTGGAGAACTTCAGACAGGGAACTGTGTTGTTGTTGTTTTCTGTTTTTGTTTTGTAAGCTTAATTTGGTTGTCTGTGGAAAACTGATTTCTAGGGTTCTAGAACGAAAACAGGAAGTTCAGGAAGGTAACTATAGAAGGTCATGACCATATATTTTGAAGGTATAGCTGACACTTGCTGGTGGACTGAATGTGAAAGGTGAGAGTATAGTTATCTGTCAGATTGGAAAGACTGGTAATAGAACTGGTTTGGGAGGTAAAAATAAAAAGCTCTGTTTTGTCATGGTAAGTCTGAAGAACCTAATCTATATCCCAGTAAATATGTATATTTGGAGCTTGGTGGGATAGTCATTGTGATAGAGATAAGCAAGGGATTAACTGTCATTTTTTTAAACTCATTAAGCTGTTTGAGATCATCCAGGGAGAGGGTGTTACTAAAGAACAGAATCCCTAGGACTGAACCCTGAACATATTTATGGGGGAACAGAGATGACAGCAAAAAAGACTGAGACTAGAGGGAAGAGAAAAACCAGGAAGGTGATGTCTCAGAAGCCAAAAGAAGGGTGTTTCAAGGAGGAAGTAGTTATTTACACTGAACTTTGCTAAGACACCAATTAAGATGAGAACAGAAAAGGATTTTCTTAGAAGCTGAGAGATGGTACAGTATGCTTATATTCTTTATCTACTAGAGAGAGGAAAATAGATAATAGAAGAGAGGAGGGTTAAAGTTGCAAGACCAGGAGAAGGATCCAGAACATAAAGTGGAGAAGATGCCTTAGGAACAGCTTATTTCATCCATTTTAACAGGAAGGCAGGCAGAAAGTGTGGACAGAGATGTAGGGATGCTGGGAGGAAATGGAAGTTCCCATCTGATGGCTTCTTTTTCCTCAGTAAACTACCATAGTATGGCTGGAAAGCCAAGAAAGTAAGCAGTTTCTTTCATAATTTCTTGATTGTAGCTATAGGGAGATTTCCAGTGGATGAGTTAATTGTTATAACAATTTTAGAAGAATCAACTAAATCTAAACATTTCAGTAGAGCCTAAAGGATAAATATCCCACAATAAACCAATTTTCATATAGCTATGTACAATGTCTCATTTCATGTTCCATGCACTAGTGAGAATACAACTAAATACCCTTCATCACAAAACAACATATATCTAGCAAATCTAAGGACATTTTAAAGAGAAAAATTTTGTACCTGAGATTTTTCTAGGAGATCAACCAAAATAGGAGGTAATTCTTCTGCATCCAAGTATTCAAGTAATTCCCCTTCTTCATAAGGCAGTCGAATGGTCTCAGAATCTTAATTTTAAAACATAAAATTTCAGAAAGTGATCAGCCTCACCGAAAAGCCTAGGTAATAATTTAAGTAACTTCTGATAAAAAATAAAGAGAATAAAGCCAAAAGCTCTCCTAAAGTCCTTCTTTATTTAAGTCTTAAAAATAAATCACCTTACATATTGCTAAAAAACTTGATAAACTGTATACAGTTTTAGAGCAGAAAGGAGGAAACACCTAACATACTATGGAAAAACGTCTGGCACAACAATCACAGTACAAATCACAGCCAGCAGTATAGTAATCAGAATATGATAAAATTCCAATATCTGTTAACTAAAAAGTTCCTTGAAGAGTGCTTAATCTAATCTGGAAGTCAGAGGGGTAATCTGGTATCACTTCTGAAAAATGACTACTTATAGACCAAAATTCTCTTGGTGTTATACAATTAACAACCAACACAAGAAAAAATTCTTAACTAGGTAAGTTCCTTGTAGAACTCATAGTTTCATCACTGTATCAAAATTTAAATGCCTCTTTAGTGAAATCTAAGAGTATTTATATTTTAAAACTCTATTTTCATATTCACATTAATAGAAATAAAATGTTGAAAACATTTCAAAAGGCAGTAAATCTGCTTAACTTTGAAAGCTTCAGACTCAAAGTATATTCAAAGCACAGAAGAAAAACATACCTTAAAACACCTGATGCTATCTTAAATAAATAAATAGCAACAGAACGAAAGGAAACTTCGACAAGTATTTTAAAATTATGTCTTTTATAATTTAACTTCAAAGACCTCAGTCAGAATACTTCTCAAATTCCAGAAGGCTAATCACACTAGAGGTAACTTCTAATATTCTAACAAAACATCATAAAGAGAACCATTTGGAATCAAAGTCTTCTTTTATCAAGTCATCACTGATCTGAAGGACAGATCATTTAGCAGGTTAAGAAACTACTTCTAAAAGACAGCACATCCGACCGGGCAGAGGGATTTTCGTGGCTGCTGCCCTCTGGAAGTTCTTACCTGATCCATTTTTTCCCCTGAGCATCAGAGAATATCCCTCATTTCCTGGGTATAGGTTGACCACTAAACATGACAATGTCTCCTGCATAACAAGCTTCTCTAACAAGTTCACATTTCTTCTTAATTTCTGCTTTAAAAAGAGGCAGAGCTCATGAAAATAATCCAGGATAACAAAGAATGCAATCATTTAACAAAAATCAGACCTTAATCTTTTTTTTTTTTTTTTGTGGTATGTGGGCCTCTCACTGTTGTGGCCTCTCCCGCTGCAGTGCATAGGCTCTGGACGCGCAGGCTCAGCGGCCATGGCTCACGGGCCCAGCCGCTCCGCGGCATGTGGGATCTACCCGGACCGGGGCACGAACCCGTGTCCCCTGCATCGGCAGGCGGACTCTCAACCACTGCGCCACCAGGGAAGCCCCTGACTTAATCTTTGATACTCTTTCCACATCTGTGTAAACTTAATTTTGATCTATTACTATGTTTTAGGCAAATGAATTAATATCACAAAGAAAAACTACTGATCTATATATAAAACAATAAACACACTTAAATATGTACCTGAGTACACAAGTAGCAAATATTAAAAATATTTAAAAAGGAAAACCATTAAATGTAAATATTTTTTAGAAAGATGCTATAATGTATAATTAGTTTCTATTAAGTATAAATCTACATAAATAATTTGGGGCATTTTCTTTGGTTGTACTGTTACAGAGTATATTTCTTAAATATATTATGGCCTAAATTAGATCTAAACAAGTTCAACAGCTCTAATCAGCTGAAATGTTAAACCCAAAAATATCTAACTGGTTAAAAGGACGTGAGTAATTTTCTGTAAATTCAATTTAACAGCTCCTTAGAAACCACTTTGCTAAGAAAAACAAAAAACTATCAGGGAACCTAACACACATACATCAAAATCTATTATTTTAGAAATGTATATGATTTAAAATGAAACCCACTTATAATAAATCATTTCATCAAATCTTATTTGTGAAAGATGTCAATAGAATATGGATTTGAAAATGGATTTGAAAAACAAATCCATTTTGAGTATCATATTTAACATGCATATATATATATACACACAGTCATATGCAGAAAGAAATTATAAATTCTTGATCTATAGTCACCATAGAATCAAAAAAACTGCATTTTGAAAATAAATTTTTAAAAAGCAAAGAAAGCAAAGCAACTTTTAACCACATTGATGGGAAGTCAGAAAATGTCTTTCTTAAAGGACCAGACAGTACTTTAGTCTTGTGGGTCATATGGTTTGTATCACAACTACTCAACTCTATTTACCTCAAAATCAGCCACATACAAGATATAAATCAAGGGGTGCTGCTGTATTCCAATAAAAGGTCATTTACAGAAACATGTTGTGGGCCAGATCTGGCTGGTGGACAATGGCTGTCAACCCCAATTTAGCATCTTCATTTATGTATCTCTCCTATCTTAGTTCTGTCTCTGAGGCAACGGATATGCTCATTATACTGACTGTGGTGACAGTTCATGGGTGTATACTGTGAAAATTAATAAAAGGAAACCTCAACTAAAACTGGAGTGGGGAAGGACTGCAGAGGGAGCTCTTCTGCCCCACCATTCATCATCAATTACCCCAAACAGGAAGACATTACTGATCCCACCAGGAAGAGAACTAACTTCAACTCCTAAACAGGAAATGCAATTCCTTTACTTCCCCAACTAGGGGAAGGGAGACTTTCTTCCTCCCAGCAACAAGCTCAGTGAATGGGAAAGGACTGCAGCCCAGCCAATGGAAAACACCTGTAGCTCAGCCAACAAAAAGCCATCATTTCTGGCACTTTTACTTTCCTCCAATGAACTCTCATTTTTTCCTTGCTGATGATTTTCTTTCTTTGTCCTGCCCTCCTTACAATAAAAGCCTTCCATGTTGTTCAACTCCTCAGAGTATCTCTGCCAGATGAGATGCTGCCCAATTCATGAATCGTTTAATAAAACCAATTAGATCTTCAAGTTTATTCAAATTTTGTTTTTTTTAATACACGTCAAAACTTATAAAATGTATACTTCAAACATACTCAACTTGTTGTATGTCAACTATATCTCAATAGAATTTATGGAAACCATACCATAAGATTTACTCATGGTTTCACAATTATTCTTCTCCTAAAGATTTTAAAGGTTAGATACTACTGGAATTCCACTAATTTTTTGCCTAAGAGGTATTCATTTTTAAAGACAGACAACAGAAGCTCAGTAGAGCCCTTTAAGGCCCTTACGACCTGAGGGTCCAAAAGATATCAAGAAATCAATTTCTATTACATTTCTACTGCCCATACTTTCATGCTAAATAAAAATGAATTAAGTTAACCTGGGCATAAACTAATTTTTCTGACCAAATTCACATTTTATTATCACATCTAAATTTCCTACATATCCTGTAATAGTTTTAACTTCCCAGTGCAACTCACCATGAAGAAATAGGTTAATTTTCTCCTGTCTTCAGTCTACAAATAACTTCTCAGGAAGAAAAAGATGCAAAAGATAATATATATGGTGGCTTTGCTTCTCCTAACTTCCCAATGAGATAGTCGGTTACTTAGCAAACATGGTTTCCCTCTGCTACCTAAGTAGGTGATCTCTGCCATGTGCCAGATTAGCCAGAGCTCTGGTTTAGCTGCAGAACTGGCTAGTCTGGTTAGAAAAGATATTTGTTCACTAACAAAAATATAAATCATTCAAATCTAATTCCTTCAAATTTCCCTCTTCCACTACATTTAAAAAGTTGTAATAACATAAAAAATTTATACTTACCTTAACCTCAGGCTCTTTTTCGCATTCTTCAATATATAAATCATAAAGTTTTTGAAATATTGATTTTCTAAAATTTAATAAACAAAGGCAGTATACAAAGTAATGTTAATATAATAATCATAAAATAAACATTTTGAATTTTCCTGTAATTTTTCCTCCAATTTCCCAAAAACTAGGGGTGAAGTGGGGTTGGATATGGTAGCTAACACCAACCTAGAAATTTCTAATACAGTTGACCCTTGCACAACACAGGGGTTAATCCTCGTATCACTTAGAGTCGGCCCTCTGTATCCGTGGTTCCTCTGCATCGACAGGTTCAACTAACCACTGACCATGAAGTACAGTAGTGTTTACTACTGAAAAGCATCTGCAAATAAGTGGACCTGCACAGTTCAAACCCACATTGTTCAAGGGTCAACTGTATATGCAAAGTACCCAGAACATTTCTAGCTCAGTGTCTAGGAAGAATGAAATAAATGATGGCTATCATCATATTTCTGTGAGTCTAAGATATCAATTAATTAAGCATTCATACCTTCCACTAGATAGATATTTCCTTTTAGGAGGTCTCTGTCGGGCACTTTCAATGACATACTAAAAAAGAGAAGTTTAAGAAAACAGCTTGTCTTTTGCATACTGCATGAAGAACTGTATTAATAAATCGTGTAAGGCTAAAAAGGCTGTTCAGTCACTCAAGTCTCTGATGCATATTAAATCATACCTTTTAGGGCAACCTACTTAATTTCTAAATATATGTTACAAACAAGTGAAATTTAAACTGCACTAAAATTTAGCACAATATTTACTTACTATATTATAAGCAAAATCATAAGAGTTTCACCACTGTGATTTCACAGGTTAGCAATATTTTCAATGTTTTATGGTTGTTTAGAATATGCATAGCATACCCAATTACAAGGACTCTATGTATTTGAGCTATTTTCCCCTTTAATTGAGCAGTTAGAATATCTGTTAAAACAGGAAACATAATTTTAGAAACTCTATGACCTTGTTCAAATGTTTATTCCACTGTGTTATTCAATTTCTATTCCACAGCATTATTATCTGAGCATTCTAAGTAACAGACGATCCAAACATCATCTGGTAGTTTTTATGTATTTATAGAAAAATTTGCATACTCGTCCTAATATTAACGTACTCCTTTGACAGTCACATAAGAAAATCTCTTAAAACTGAGTTCTGTCAATTAAAGACAACACTATTTCAATATGTAACTTAGTCACGCCTCACCTCCGCACGATCCAAAGCTAGTTCTAAAGCTTGTTGCTGTAAAAAGTAAATAGTGTATTTGGTAATATTAGTTATTTTCACACAAACATAATTTAATATACATATAACATTTTCTAATTAAGTGTTTAAATGTGTTTTATTTTCTAAAACAGGTCTAACATTTTTCTTTATTTCTCTCCTCCACCCACCCCATTGTATGCTCAAAATATAGCACAAAGAAAATATATGCAGTCTCAGGCACCTGATTATGACCACAAATTAGTTAAGAAATGCTACCATGATTTTCTCTGGCCATGTTTGTGCAGCTGATACAGGGCTGAGGGTTGGATATGGTAACTACTACCATTTTATAAACATCAACATTTTAAGAGCACCATTCAGGAAAATATACTGGCCATCAGGTATGCAATTAAGTGAAGCAAAGATTAAAATCCCTTAAGCTGCTAGGAATCCTGAAAACCGAGGGGGCTGTTATGTTGGTATCTAATATCAACTTAGAAATTCCTAATATTATTCAGAGAAACTATAATACAATGTTTCTAGGTCAGTGCCTAGCAAAAATAGAATGAAGGCTATCCTTAGCACGTTGTAATGAATTTAAGATACCATCAGTTATATGCCTGAATTATTATTTAACATTAAGAAAAACGTGCTGCCAATTATAACTGTAAGATGTCACTGACTGTAGACACATTATCACTTCAGTAATTAAAACGTAAAAGCAAATGCATCTTAGAAATGATGAAAATATAGTATTATTATTACATGTACAATTTGAGATCTACTAGTAGATCCCCATCCTTCATTGATTTCTTAGAGACCCTTATTATAAGGCAAGAGGGAGAAATAAGGTGGTTAACTGTCTTCCTCATTTGTATAGCATTCTTCTGTAATGATACCCAAGAAAAAAAAGTACTAGATTTAAAAAAAAATTAAGCAAATACACCACCACTGATTTCTTTCTGGTTTTGTGGTTTGGGTATCACATAGAGTTACAGCATTTTTCATTCACAATGACAGTCATTTTTAATTTCACTGAGAGGCAAAGAACTTTCAATTTTTATTTACAAGAACCTATATTTTTGTTTTATTTTGCAGACTCCAATACTTCAGTCTACTAAGTTGCATGGAATAAAAGCTCCTAGCACCCACCAAAATCCCAAGAGGGTAGGGAGAATAAATATTGCCAGACTTTGGAAATCAAGAAAAAGTTGAAGAGACCCTGTCCTCCTAGTCCTAAGGACGGAGAATACATATGATTATAAAAATAGTTGGCCTTTTTTCTTTTTATTTAATAGATCTTTATGGGAGTATAATTGCTTCACAATACTGTGTTAGTTTCTGTTGTACAGCACAGTGAATCAGTCATATGCATACATATGTCCCCATTTCCCCTCCCTCTTGAGCCTCCCTTCCACCCTCCCTATCCCACGTCTTTAGGTCATCGCAAAGCACTGAGCTGATCTCCCTGTGCTATGCTGCTGCTTCCCACTAGCTATTTTACATTCAGTGTGTATATAAGTCGATGCTACTCTCACTTCGCCCCAGCTTCCCTCTCCGCCCCCCCCCCCCCCCCCCCCCCCCCCCCCCGTGTCCTCATGTCCATTCTCTACATCTGCATCTTTACTCCTGCCCTGCCACTAGGCTCATCAGTACCATTTTTTTTTAGATTCCACAGATATGTGTTAGCATATGGTATTTGTTTTTTTCTTTCTGACTTACTTCACTCTGTATGACAGACTCTAGGTCCAACCACCTCACTACAAATGACTCAATTTCGTTTCTTTTTATGGCTGAGTAATATTCCATTTTATATATGTGCCACAAGTTCTTTATCCATTCATCTGTTGATGGACAATTAGGTTGTTTCCATGTCCTGGCTATTGTAAATTGTGCTTCAATGAACACTGTGGTACCTCTTTTTTTTTTTTTTTTTGATGTGGACCACTTTTAAAGTCTTTATTGAATTTGTTACAGTACTGCTTCTGTTTTATGTTTTGATTTTTTGGTCCCAAGGCATGTGGGATTCCTAGCTCCCCGACCAGGGATCGAACCTGCATCCCCTGCACTGGAAGGCGAAGTCTTAACCTCTGGACCACCAGGGAAGTCCCTAGCTGGGCTTTTTAAACAGCAATAGAACCCCTACATATCAAGCATCTAAATGGAGTTAAGTAAAAAAGTCTAAAATATGCCAGTATTTCAAAAGTTTGTTAAAATAAATTTATACCAATTTAATTTATTAAAATATCTTATGGGCAGATTTCAATGAAACTGTTTCCCAGGATTCAAGATGGGATTCTTGAGAATAAACTATTTTCCAACATAAAAACATAACTCTGAATATGTACTCTTGACAAAAACACAAGGTTCTTTTAATTATTTTGGCCATAAAACCTTCAAGTAAGTTTAGATCAAAAAATTATAATAAACACAATCAAATGTATACTCTAGGACAATTTCAAACAGCCAGTCTTCTCAAGTAAATATTTAATCTTCTGATATCAAAACTTTAAAAGCTCCAGTGAGATATACTTGCATATGTAAACACTAGTATCGTTATATTCACTATTGCGTTCAAATACTTAAGAGGGAAGTGACTGGCTAATACGAATGCAAAATATAAGGCCAGGTCAGAACCCCACTGCGATAGCTTTTCTCTAACACTGCAAGGGTATACACGCAAGATCCCAAGAAGAGAAGATATATGTTTTCTGAGGTTTATCCAACATGGTGGTTAATGTTCATTTATCCTCTGTCAAATGCTGCTGTTTTTTTAAAACAGAAAGTGATTTTTTTTTCTTTGTCTTTAATTCTTTAAAGGCAAGAGTTAAATGCCCAGCCCTAAGTATGTTTACTGACTCTAAATGGTAAGTAGAAATCTGCCATTACAAGTTTAAAACTAATGCTGCTTAAATGTTATTTGCAGTAAGCAGGTTACATTTGTTGTTAAAAATTTTTTTTAAATCTAAATTAAGAGGAACTTTAAACTATGAGAAACCTATGCCCCCAAAACTATTTGTATTTATACCCATCCTTCTTGCCAATGATTTCGACTATAGTAAAGCAGACAGAAGTAATTATTTTTTAATACTTCACAAAAATAAGAACAGATAAATTATCTGTGTAATCTGGATATGATTTTAACACTGAGAGATGAGTCCCCTATTTTGTAAAGAAAATTTTGTATGTGATGCTAAGTAATTTCCCTGTTAGGGTAACTTGGGCAGCTTACAAGAATATTTCTGTTTCGTACAGATACCTTTATCGAGATGAAGGAAGAGAACATTCTAAGAATATTAACATACTAAGGTGTAGCTTACCATTGTGGTATAAAATAGAGGTCCAAAAAGGAGAAAACTTATGTGCGTTGATGAAGTGGGGTGAAAACCGTACCTTTAGAAACCAGTCTTAGAGTACTGAAAAAGCAAAAATAACACAACCCTTATATTAACATAAAGCTCTCAAGAGATATGAGATTACTTAGTAATTAACAAGGAAAATTATTTGAGGCATATATATTTCTAAGACCCTTTAAAAATAATTAGTAACAATAAAATTCATTATATGACAATCTATACACTCATTGTTGAAAAGCTGTAACTAGGTAGGGCAAAATACAGTTTGCAAACTAAAATCATTACTCAGTTTCTTAAAAATGTTTAACACCCAGGAGAGAATGTTTTTTAATTTCTTCTATCATCACAGTTGCTGCTTTCATTGTTACTCTGGATTATTTTAACAGCCTGCCCTCTGGCCGTGGTCACTGCACCGTTCACTTTACAAATCATACATTTCATCATACCTGCTGATAAAAGTCCTCTAATGCTATTCCCCCAAATGCCCCAGGCTACATTTTCCAATGCAGCTCCAATTCTTCCAGCCTTTCCCCTCTTCAAGCAAACAAGATACACTCCTGAAGAACCTCATTCCTCTAACACAAACTCTCATCGTGGCTGCACAAGAAAGTAACCTTGGGAACCTTTAAAACGTGGGATACCCATGCTCCACCCTCCAGAGATTCTCATTAATTGGTCTGGAGTAGGGTGCAGGGATCACCATTTTTGGAACTCCCTAAGTGATTCAAAGGTGCTGCCAGTTTAACTCGACTGCTATATCCTCTCTGCTTCCCACAGAAATAGTATGTTTGCTCTGAGAGTCATGCTAAATAAAGCTTATTTTTAATCTAATTCTTTACCTAACTCCTTGTAACCACCTCTGTGTCTATACACAGCTGAGCACATCTTTAAGCGACAGAAAACACTATTTTCCGTGTTAAATTGTTTTGGCTCGCTTTGGGTGAACCCAAAGCTTAAGTTTTGCCAGTTCAGGTTTGAAAAAAAAAAGGAGGGGAGGGGGTGGAAAAAACAGGAAAAACCCCACAAACGACCAAAAACTACAAGCACCATACAGGTTCCAGGAATAATCATTTAAAAAACGAATAAGACAGTAATCCTACTCTAGAAGAGCTCATGAAAGATTTACGCTGAATTTACGGTGAAATTTTTCTGATCGTTGAATCTAAAGATGAAGATACACTAGGTAGAGGCGAAATGTGATGATGACTATCTCTTGTCACTAAATTGTGGGGGATGGTGGAGAGGAAGGCTTATTGAATTTAAACTAAGTACTAAAAAACACAATAACCACTTACAAACCAAACATTCTGACTGTATACAGAACTTACTAAAACCCTGGAAGAAAACCATTGTAATTATCATCGTCTTCATTTTACAGAATAAGGCTCTCAGAACTAGTGACTTTCCCATGATCACACAACTAGACCGGAATTCAGACCTCTCTTTTTAATATTAAGATTCTTTCTCCTAAATCTTACAACCTTCCAGACCATTCAATCCAACACCCAGTTTTAGATTTTTTTTTTTCCCCGCGGTACGCGGGCCTCTCACTGTTGTGGCCTCTCCCGTTGCGGAGCACAGCCTCCGGACGCGCAGGCTCAGCAGCCATGGCTCACGGGCCCAGCTGCTCCGCGGCATGTGGGATCTTCCCGGACTGGGGCACGAACCCGTGTCCCCTGCATCGGCAGGCGGACTCTCAACAACTGCGCCACCAGGGAAGCCCCATTTTTAGATTTTTGAAAGCAAAACATTTAAAGGCCTCGATTCTGCTCAGACTAATAAAATTTTTTTCTTAATTTTGACCTATTTTTACCATTATGGTTATCACCCATCGTACACGGTACTCAATCTGACTCCGAAAATCGTGCTAATCACTTTCTATTGGGAGTCCTACTTCATTGTACGCAGCCCCTCCCTGGTGGTGGTTATCGGAGATGGCTTCCAGCGGCAGCTATTCGCCAAGTTTATTTCTGAACTCCCGAGAACCACGGCGAGGACCAGTAATCAATTCTGAACGTCGCCATCAATCCCACTGATTTCCTCGATCGACGTGAGTCTCCTCCAACTGCTCAAGCATTTGTTTACAACTCAGACTTTACCTGAAAAACGGCCCAACTCCACAGCGCAGCGAACCTTTATTCAATATGGACACCGAGAACCCCGCCCCCAAAGAAGCGCTACGCGCAATTCTTGCGAGTTTCCGGAAATACCTGTAACTGGAACCCACGGGTCAAACCTAAGATGAAAAGCGTGGCTTGGCAGCACCGCGAGAGGCAACGGAGGGACCGCCGGGAGGGCGGCTGGCTCGACCAGGCCCACCGCGTCTCTGGGGACACCGCCTTCCTGCCTCGGGCTCCGGGCCCCGGAAGCGGCGAAAAGCCACTCGGGAAGCTGCTCGCTCACCTCTGACCCCACCCCGAATCTCGCGCGCCTACCCTGTCCTCCGCAGGCGCGCCACGGCCACCCGTCGCAGCCCACCTGTGCGGGCCACAGCCTCAGGATATCGCCGTTGGCTCGACCAGAACGCGACGCGCCGAATTCGGCGCCGCGCTGCCGGCTACGCGCCCGCCCGCTGCTCGCTCCGCTCGCTCCGCACGCCCCCTTGCCCGCGCGGCGCCACAGCTCAGCCGACCGCCTGTTACGGCGCCCGCGCTTCCGATTGGGGCGCTGGGCGGGCGACCGCGGGCGGAAGCGGTAGAGGTGGGAAGGCGGGGCCGCGGCGAGGAGGCTCGACGCCAGGATGCTCTAGCCTGGGACTGGTCCTCGCGAGGCCTTTTGTAACTAAGGCCCGGTGTTGGGGCGAGGCTCACGAGCGCTTTCGCTGGTCCGGCATCCAGGTCCGTAAAACGAGAGGTAGCGTGTGGCTCTTTGTGAGGTAGGGAGCCCTGTTTAATTTATACAGTGAAAGAAACTTGGAATAAGCTTTCCTTGCTCCTCCCATCCTCATGAAAGGGAAAGACACCATTCCTGTATTTACTAGTGCAGGCCTTGCAGCCTATGATAGTCTATCAATCAAGTGCCAATGAATTTAATGCCATAAAACAAAACACCTCACTGAAGAGTTGTAAAGATTCAGGAACGGAATAACCAGAGCACATTGCAATGTCTGATTGTAATTCTGTACCTTTAAATAACTTTGGTTGTTGGGTTATAAACTTTTAAAAAATGATTATTGAAGTGAAGCTCACAGAATGTGAAATGAAACACTTTTAAGTACACAATTCAGTAGGCTTCAGTACATTCACAGTTCCGTGCAACTACCAACCATACTGGTTCCAAAACAATTTCCTCACCCCTGTTAAGCAATTACACATTATTCTTCCCTCTCCCAGACCCTAGCAGACCCCAACTGCTTTTAGACTTTAAGGATTTACCTAATCTGGGTATTTCACGTAAATGGAATATGTGACCTTTGCATCTGTCTGCATTCACATAACATGTTTTCCAGGTTCATCCACCTTATAGGAAGTATCAGGACTTCATTCTTTTTTATGGCTAATATTGCATCTTATTTGTGTGTATATACCCCAATTAATTCATACATCCAGCGATGGACATTTGGGTTGTTTACACCTTTGAGCTACTGTGAATAGTGCTGCTATGAATATTTGTGTCGAAGTATTGTTTTGAGTCCCTGTTCTCAACTCTTTCTGGCATATACTGTTAAAGAAACCTGGAATCTGACAGTAATTCAAGCGGTAAGAAAAACAGATTTTATTCAGGAACTATTGCAGTAGGGAGAAGAGACCTTAGTATAGAACTGGGTTCAGTTACAAAAACAGCATAGACAAGTAAGGATTTATAGCCAAGGTGGGGTGAGGAAACAGTGGATGGATATTTCCTAAAAGGAAATATCAGGTGTAAGGGCTAAATTCTGGCCAAACCGACTTGAAAGGATTCTTAACTGAAGGCAGACCAGGATGATCAGCTATTAACGGTGGGGGCATGAAGAATCCGATCAGATATTGAGGGTGATCAGATACCCGGGTAGGGGTTCTTTCTAAACTGACCTAGCTGGATTCTTACTACAACTGGTTGATGCAGACCCCACAAGACCGATACTAAAGTAGAGGCTAAGAGGGCTTAGAGGAGCCTGACTAAAGTTTAGTCAAGGAGAGAGTCTTTGTCAGTACCCAGGAATGGAACTGCTGGGTCATATGGTAATTCTGTGCTTAAATATTTGTGCAGTCAATAAAATGTTTTCCACAGTGGCAGAGACATTTTATATACTGATAGCCATGTATGACAGTTCCAGTTTCTCCACATCCTCACCAAAACTTTCGTCTTGTTTTGTTTTTGATCATAGCCATTCTAGCGGGTATAAAATGGTATCTCATTGTGGTTTTGATTTGCAGTTCCCTGATGGCTAATGATGTTAATTGAGAATCTTTTCATGTTCTTATTGGCCATTTGTATATATTCTTTGGAGAATGTCTATTCAAGTCCTTTGCCCATTTTTAAATTGGGTTGTTTGTTTTTTTGTTGTTTAAGTTATGAGTTCTTTATATATTCTGGATACTAGACCCTTATCAGATATATGATTTACAAATATTTTCTCACATTCTGTAGGTTGTCTTCACTTTCTTGCTAATGTTTTTTGATTTTCAAACTTAAATTTTTGATGAAGTCTAATTTATCTATTTTTTTCTGTTGTGGATTGTGATTTTGGTGTCATATTTAAGAATCTATTGCCAAATCCAAGGTCATAAGGATTGTTGAAAACCATCTCTGCACTTCGTTTTACACAAAGCAGAAAGTGAATTTATCACAAGGATTTCAACCTGCAAGCCAAGAAACTTGAGGCTATGGGAGCGACGAGTTCCGAGTTGCTCACAGACTAAAGAGTGTGTATAGGGTAAATGCAGAAGTAATTTGGCTTTTTCAGCTGATCCTTATTTGGATCAGTGTAGTTGTGTCAGGGGACCAAGGAAGTCCAAAGACAGCATGAGCAGACTTGGTCTTTGGGGATTGGCTGGCATCCTCTGCTGATTTCTGAGGAGGGCTGTAAATTCCTGCAACTTACATTAGGTAAGGTAAAGTTTTGTGTTTCTTTAATGTACCTGTGTTGTCCAACTCCATTTTGTCCCCAATATAAGTGACTCCATTTTAGTTTTGGTTCTACAGAATTCACCCCTATATTCTTCTAAGAGTTTTATGGTTTTAGCTCTTATATTAAGTCATTAGTCCATTTTGAGTTTATTTTTATATACATTCTGTGGTAGGCATTCCATTTCATTCTTTTGCATGTTGTCCCAGAATCATTTGTTGAAGTGAATATTCTTATCCGCAATGAATGGACTTGACAACCTTGTCAGAAATCAATTTGCCATAGATGTATGGGTTTGTTTCTGGAGTATTACTTCTACTTTGTCCATCTTATGTCTGTCCTATGCCAGCACCACACTGTAGCTTTGTACTAAGTTTTGAAATTGGGATGTGTAAGTCCTCCAGTTTTGTTCGTTTCCAATATTGTTTTGGCTCTTCAGATCCCTTGTAATTTTATATGAGTTTGAGGATCAGCTTTTTCATTTTTGCAAAAAAGACAGCTGGGATTTTGATAGGGATTCCATTGAATTAATAGATCTCTTTGACAAGTATTGTTATCTTAAAATATTAAGTCCTCCAATCCGTGAACATGATGTCTTTCCATTTATTTAAGTCTTCTTTAATGTTTTTTCACAATATTTGTAGTTTCCAGTGTACAATTCTTTCCTCTCCTTAGTTAATTTATTTCTATCTATTTCTGTTCTTTTTTTTTTTTTTTGAATGCTATCTTAGTCTGTTTGGGGATGCTATAACAAAATCCCACAGAAGACTGGGTGCCTTAAACAACAGAAATTTCTTTCTCACAGTTCTGGAGTCTGGGAAGTCCAAGATCACAGTGCTGACAGATTTGGTTTCTGGTGAGAGTTGTCTTCCTGGCTTGTAGAGAACTGCCTTCTCCGGGTGTCCTCATGTGGTGGTGAGGGAGAGAAAGGCAGCTCTGGTGTCTCTTATTATAAGGATACTAGGCCCTCTTTCCAAAAAACAATCACATTGGGGCATAGGGCTTTAACATGAATTTTGGGGGAACACAATTTAGTCCATAGTAAATGCAATTATAAATGGAATTTTTACTTAATTTCCTTTTCGGATTATTCATTGTTGATGTATTAAAAAAACTGATTTTTGAGTGTTGATGTTGCACTCTGAAAACTTGTCAAATTTGTTTATTAGTGCTAATACTTGTGTGTGGTATGCATGCGTGTGTTCTTTAAGGTTTCTTTTTTCTTTTTTTTTGGTGGCACGCGGGCCTGTCGTTGTTGTGGCCTCTCCTGTTGCGGAGCACAGGCTCCGGACGCGCAGGCTCAGTGGCCGTGGATCACGGGCCCAGCCGCTCCACAGCATGTGGGATCTTCCCGGACCGGGGCACAGACCCCGTGTCCTCTGCATTGACAGGCGGACTCTCAACCACTGCACCACCAGGGAAGCCCTAAGGTTTCTTTATATAGGATCGTGTCATCTGTAAATTGAGGAAGTTTTACTTATTCCTTACAGTTGGGATGCCTTTTATTTCCTTTCCTTGCCTAATTGCTCTGGCTAGAGTCATTCCTTCATTTTAAGGAATTGGCTCATGCAGTTGTAGAGGCTGGCAGGTGTGATCCACAGGGCAGGCTGGTAGGATGAAAACACCAGAGCACTTTGTAGTTTTAACAACGCCTGCCCTCAGGGGAAACTAGTAAACCAGAGCCTAATCTGCTGGTTTTATTAGAGCCTAGCTGACCTGGGGGAAAGGAGATACCCAATTCCAGCCCACTGTAGCCATGTGTCTCACCTGTGGGTGGGGGAATCTGAGAAACACTTGTGAAGTTCACAGTTCGGGGACACAGGCTCACTAAAAGACTGAGACCTAATTCAAGGACTGTAGACTGCTTCCCTTTCCCAAACCTTACCACCACATAACTAAAGGTCTATTTACAGCAGTTCCTTTTATCCAGTACGTAATGTCTAGCTATCAAGAAAAAATTACAAGGCATACTAAAAGGCCAAAAATACAGTTTAAATAGATAGAACAAGCATCACAGCCAGACATGGCATGGATGTTGGAATTATCAGACTGGCAATTTAAAACTATGCCTCCTGATGTAGTGTATTTCATATTATTACTATTTATGAATTATGTTCATAAAAACAGAAATTGAATCTGAATTGAATCAAGCCCCTAGGTCTAACTACCGGTTTACTTGAATAAAGAGGCACAGAGTAAGTTGTTAAAGTGACAGCATGATAATACAATCTGCCCAATACATAGTGTAGTAAACCGTAAGAAAACTGAATGTGAATTGGCTATGTGATATTAAGGAATTACTACTAACTGTTACAGGCTGAATTGTGCTGCCACCACCCCCCGCCGCCCCAAATTAATATGTAGAAGCGGTAATGTCTAGTACCTCAAAATGTGATTGTATTTGAAGATAGGACCTTTAAAGAGGTGATTAAGTAAATGAGGCTGTTAGGGTGGGCCCTAATTCAATATGACTGGTATCCTTAAAAGAAGAGATTAGGACACAGATTGAGAGAGAGACACTAGGGATGCCAGCACACAGAGAAAAGACCTTGTGAGGGTACAGCGAGAAGGGGCTATTTGCAAGCCAAGGAGAGAGGCCTCAGAGAAAACCAACCCTGCTCTCACTTTGATCTTGGATTTCAGCCTCCAGACTCAGAGAAAATTAATTTCTGTTGTTTAAATCCCCTAGTCTGCGGTATGTTGTTATGACAGCCCTGGCAAACTAATACAATAACACTAGATGGAATAGTGATTTTTTTAGTTATGAGAATAAGAAAAATGGACTTTGTGTATTAGAGATACAAAATATAGCATTTACAAGTAAATAA